CTTGTATGTGACTTCACCACTATACTGTCACCTTACGTATGGAAATACACATATATCCTACCTTGTATGTGACTTCACCACTATACTGTCACCTTACATATGGAAATACACATATATCCTACCTTGTATGTGACTTCACCACTATACTGTCACCTTACGTATGGAAATACACATATATCCTACCTTGTATCCATATCTAGAGAGACAAGCTTCTTTTTATTCATGAGTTTGTTGAGTCTGCCGAGCCACATGGCGCCTTCACCATTGGGGTCAATTAACATGGGGGGGCGTTGCCAGGAGGAACTCAGGATGGCAGCATTCTCAATCTGTCTGGGTCCAAAATCTAAAGACAATTTTTTACCATTCAACAAATTGTTAGATATTGCTTGGTTTGTACTCAATTGTAAATGAAAATCTTTTAACCGCAAGCATACTATTATTGAGGCAATCATTTTTTTGGTCCGTTAATGGCCTCTTTTTAAAATCAATGGCACACCAATTCCTAAATGGTTGTTCATATTGCATACTTTCAATTTTGAATTACTCTTTTTACATTGTAAATTTTTCATAGATTTATGGTTTTGAAAATCTGAACTACATGTACCAACAGAAGGCAAATTCTAGATGGACTCGTTCACAATGGCCTTCATTAGTACTTGATCCTGGATTAACCATACTCCATTGAACAGGTGTACAATAATTTTGTTTAGGAAATTTCAACACAATTCATTGTTATACTATTGAAGCAGAAACTATCAAATATATACCTTTGCGAAGCCAGTCGTTGAGAGTTCTCTCCCCTACCAGCAACTTGACGAGGGAGACAACATACTTGTTGTATTGGGTGGAGGTGAGGAGGGGTGCAGAGGACGAGGTCACCTGACTGTCATTATCCTCGTCACCTTCCTCCTGGATCCTCTCTAGCCCCGCCTCCTCACGCCCAGTGAGTGATGTCTTCTCCGTAGTTGGCAAGGTTTTCTCTATTGATACATAGAATACCCAAATTAGATACAACACATGGAGGGAAGATTCCATGGATTAAAGATAATTAGATACAATACATGGAGGGAAGATTCCAGGGATTAAAGAGAATTAGATACAACACATGGAGGGAAGATTCCAGGGATTAAAGAGAATTAGATACAATACATGGAGGGAAGATTCCAGGGATTAAAGAGAATTAGATACAATACATGGAGGGAAGATTCCAGGGATTAAAGAGAATTAGATACAATACATGGAGGGAAGATTCCAGGGATTAAAGAGAATTAGATACAATACATGGAGGGAAGATTCCAGGGATTAAAGAGAATTAGATACAATACATGGAGGGAAGATTCCAGGGATTAAAGAGAATTAGATACAATACATGGAGGGAAGATTCCAGGGATTAAAGAGAATTAGATACAATACATGGAGGGAAGATTCCAGGGATTAAAGAGAATTAGATACAATACATGGAGGGAAGATTCCAGGGATTAAAGAGAATTAGATACAATACATGGAGGGAAGATTCCAGGGATTAAAGAGAATTAGATACAATACATGGAGGGAAGATTCCAGGGATTAAAGAGAATTAGATACAATACATGGAGGGAAGATTCCAGGGATTAAAGAGAATTAGATACAATACATGGAGGGAAGATTCCAGGGATTAAAGAGAATTAGATACAATACATGGAGGGAAGATTCCAGGGATTAAAGAGAATTAGATACAATACATGGAGGGAAGATTCCAGGGATTAAAGAGAATTAGATACAATACATGGAGGGAAGATTCCAGGGATTAAAGAGAATTAGATACAATACATGGAGGGAAGATTCCAGGGATTAAAGAGAATTAGATACAATACATGGAGGGAAGATTCCAGGGATTAAAGAGAATTAGATACAATACATGGAGGGAAGATTCCAGGGATTAAAGAGAATTAGATACAATACATGGAGGGAAGATTCCAGGGATTAAAGAGAATTAGATACAATACATGGAGGGAAGATTCCAGGGATTAAAGAGAATTAGATACAATACATGGAGGGAAGATTCCAGGGATTAAAGAGAATTAGATACAATACATGGAGGGAAGATTCCAGGGATTAAAGAGAATTAGATACAATACATGGAGGGAAGATTCCAGGGATTAAAGAGAATTAGATACAATACATGGAGGGAAGATTCCAGGGATTAAAGAGAATTAGATACAATACATGGAGGGAAGATTCCAGGGATTAAAGAGAATTAGATACAATACATGGAGGGAAGATTCCAGGGATTAAAGAGAATTAGATACAATACATGGAGGGAAGATTCCAGGGATTAAAGAGAATTAGATACAATACATGGAGGGAAGATTCCAGGGATTAAAGAGAATTAGATACAATACATGGAGGGAAGATTCCAGGGATTAAAGAGAATTAGATACAATACATGGAGGGAAGATTCCAGGGATTAAAGAGAATTAGATACAATACATGGAGGGAAGATTCCAGGGATTAAAGAGAATTAGATACAATACATGGAGGGAAGATTCCAGGGATTAAAGAGAATTAGATACAATACATGGAGGGAAGATTCCAGGGATTAAAGAGAATTAGATACAATACATGGAGGGAAGATTCCAGGGATTAAAGAGAATTAGATACAATACATGGAGGGAAGATTCCAGGGATTAAAGAGAATTAGATACAATACATGGAGGGAAGATTCCAGGGATTAAAGAGAATTAGATACAATACATGGAGGGAAGATTCCAGGGATTAAAGAGAATTAGATACAATACATGGAGGGAAGATTCCAGGGATTAAAGAGAATTAGATACAATACATGGAGGGAAGATTCCAGGGATTAAAGAGAATTAGATACAATACATGGAGGGAAGATTCCAGGGATTAAAGAGAATTAGATACAATACATGGAGGGAAGATTCCAGGGATTAAAGAGAATTAGATACAATACATGGAGGGAAGATTCCAGGGATTAAAGAGAATTAGATACAATACATGGAGGGAAGATTCCAGGGATTAAAGAGAATTAGATACAATACATGGAGGGAAGATTCCAGGGATTAAAGAGAATTAGATACAATACATGGAGGGAAGATTCCAGGGATTAAAGAGAATTAGATACAATACATGGAGGGAGGATTCCAGGGATTAAAGAGAATTAGATACAATACATGGAGGGAAGATTCCAGGGATTAAAGAGAAGTGGTTCTGTAGAGTAGACCTAATTGTGGGCAAGCTTAACTCTAAATACAAAAATTTTGAGCAAGTTGAAACACTTCTTTGTTGAAGATACAACACAGCCCATCCTAAAAATCACAGGGGTTAATATTCTCTCTTACTGCACAAGAATATGTCATGACAGAATGGCAGGGGCTGTTAGCGCCACCTTGTAATTAGGGGATACCAGTTTGATCCTTTGATCCTTTTACATATAGGAATCTTGTTGAAAGGTAATTGACTGCTTTTGAAGCCTGGTGTCATTCCTCTGTAATCTTCAAAGGACAGGTACCAGCCTAGTTGCTGGTCAGTATTTCAAATGAAAAGAATCAAATGTACAAGACATATTCCAGGGGTGTAGAGAATATAAGTCAGCATAACTCCTGGAGTATCGAGGATAACCACAACCTACACTGGGACTGTTACCATTACATTTTATTGAAAATCTAAAGCTATAGATTTAGAACCAACGTAAAACTGTAAAACATGGATACCCTGCACCGTATCTGACCCCTCTGGAGTAGTTCTTAACCATTGTTAGGTCATAGACGCCTTAACTGAGATCACAAAGGTCAAGGTCAAGTTTATAAATGTCATGCAACATGCTGCACTCACAAAGATGCATAAGCATGTAAAGCTACTTAACCTTTACTGCAGTAATTGGTCTTTAACCTAAATACAAAACTTAACCAGCCGGCCCTACAGACAAAGGTAACAACTGTAACACATTCTGGCAGGTTTTAACAATGATCTTTGCAGTTTGTATTGTATTCATTTTACATTTTGACACTTTCACAATGTTTCCTTTAGCAATGCTATGGTAGAAATATTCCTGATATCAGTATGTCCCCACATACTTATTAGTTACCAACCAATTAAAATTTAAGAAAGAGAAAACTTAATTCTTAGCAAGACTATGTTTTTCTTAATATTTTCAGTACCAGACTATGTTTTTCTCTATATTGTCAGTACCAGACTATGTTTTTCTCTATATTGTCAGTACCAGACTAATTATTCTCACCTTTCTCTTCCTCTTCTTTCTTCTCTTCCTGTGATTCCTCCTTTACTTCACTGCCTTCCTCTTTCTTTTCATTGGACTCATCTTTCTCTTTTTCCTCCAAACTCTTTTCTTCTTTCTCATTTACATCCTTCTCTTCATCCATCTTTTCCTCTTCCTTTTCTTCTTTGTCCTCTTCTGTTTGTTTTTCCTTGTTATCAGTTTCCTCCTCCTTTCTCTCCTGTGTATCCTTGGCGCTTTCCCTGCTGTTTGTCTACAAAACATGTCACAGTGTTATTGATGTCTGTCTACAAAACCTGTCACACAATGTTATTGATGTCTGTCCACAAAATATGTCACACAATGTTATTGATGTCTGTCTACAAAACATGTCACAGTGTTATTGATGTCTGTCTACAAAACCTGTCACACAGTGTTATTCTCCTGTGTATCCTTGGCGCTTTCCCTGCTGTTTGTCTACAAAACATGTCACAGTGGTATTGATGTCTGTCCACGAAACATGTCACAGTGTTATTGATGTCTGTCCACAAAACATGTCACACTGTGTTATTGCTGTCTGTCTACAAAACCTGTCACACAATGTTATTGATGTCTGTCCACAAAACATGTCACAGTGTTATTGATGTCTGTCTACAAAATATGTCACACTGTGTTATTGATGTCTGTCTACAAAACCTGTCACACAGTGTTATTGATGTCTGTCTACAAAACATGTCACAGTGTTATTGATGTCTGTCTACAAAACAAGTCACACAGTGTTATTGATGTCTGTCGACAAAACCTGTTACAAAGTGTTATTGATGTCTGTCTACAAAATATGTCACACAATGTTATTGATGTCTGTCTACAAAACCTGTCACAGTGTTATTGATGTCTGTCTACAAAACCTGTCACACAGTGTTATTGATGTTTGGCTACAAAACCTGTCACACAGTGTTATTGATGTCAGTCTCCAAAACCTGTCACACAATGTTATTGATGTCTGTCTACAAAACCTGTCACAGTGTGATTGATGTCTGTCTACAAAACCTGTCACACAGTGTTATTGATGTCAGTCTCCAAAACCTGTCACACAATGTTATTGATGTCTGTCTACAAAACCTGTCACAGTGTTATTGATGTCTGTCTACAAAACATGTCACAGTGTTATTGATGTCTGTCTACAAAATATGTCACACAATGTTATTGATGTCTGTCTACAAAACCTGTCACAGTGTGATTGATGTCTGTCTACAAAACCTGTCACACAGTGTTATTGACGTCTGTCTACAAAACCTGTCACACAGTGTTATTGACGTCTGTCTACAAAACCTGTCACACAGTGTTATTGATGTGTGTCTACAAAACCTGTCACAGTGTTATTGATGTCTGTCCACAAAACATGTCACAGTGTTATTGATGTCTGTCTACAAAATATGTCACACTGTGTTATTGATGTCTGTCTACAAAACCTGTCACAGTGTGATTGATGTCTGTCTACAAAACCTGTCACACAGTGTTATAAATACCTGTCTACAAAACCTGTCACGCAGTGTTATTGATGTCTGTCTACAAAACCTGTCACACAGTGTTATAAATATCTGTCTACAAAACCTGTCACGCAGTGTTATTGATGTCTGTCTACAAAACCTGTCACAGTGTTATTGATGTCTGTCTACAAAACCTATCACACGGTGTTATTGATGTCTATCTACAAAACCTGTCACACAGTGTTATTGATGTCTGTCTACAAAACCTATCACACAATGTTATTGATGTCTGTCTACAAAACCTATCACACAGTGTTATTGATGTCTGTCTACAAAACCTGTCACACAGTGTTATTGATGTCTGTCTACAAAACCTGTCACAGTGTTATTGATGCCTGTCTACAAAACCTATCACACGGTGTTATTGATGTCTATCTACAAAACCTGTCCCACAGTGTTATTGATGTCTGTCTACAAAACCTATTACACAATGTTATTGATGTCTGTCTACAAAACCTGTCACAAAGTGTTATTGATGTCTGTCTACAAAACCTGTCACAGTGTTATTGATGTCTGTCTACAAAACCTGTTACAAAGTGTTATTGATGTCTGTCTACAAAACCTGTCACAGTGTTATTGATGTCTCTCTACAAAACCTATCACACGGTGTTATTGATGTCTCAAAACATGTCACAGTGTTATTGATGTCTGTCTACAAAACCTATCCCACGGTGTTATTGATGTCTATCTACAAAACCTGTCCCACAGTGTTATTGATGTCTGTCTACAAAACCTATCACACGGTGTTATTTATGTCTATCTACAAAACCTGTCACACAGTGTTATTGATGTTTGTCTACAAAACCTGTCACACAGTGTTATTGATATCTGTCCACAAAACCTGTCACACAATGTTATTGATGTCTGTCTACAAAACATACCTTAGTGACTAGTTCAGTGGAATGACTGTAACTGAAATACTTTAGAAGTTATTAACATCCAGTGGAACTGATTATATATAGATATATTAAACAATGTAGAGATCTAGAGGCGCCCCTACCTTGACAGAACGATCAGTCACTGGCTGGTCCTCAATGTCCGTTGGTCCCATCAGAGCCGAGGTGTAGTCGATATCATAAACAGTGCTTGCTCCTGCTGCTGTCTTCAGGAAGTCGATGGACCAGTCAATCACTCGGCCTGTAACAATCATCAAACACAACCTCATGGCTTTGTATGTTTACCATCATACCAATATCTACTATACCTATAAGTCTAGTAAGGAAACTTTCACATAGTAAATAAGGCGATCCTTCACTGGTTAAATCTATCCTCAATCCCAGTTAACTTTGTTTGTCATGTAAAGTGAAAATTTACCTGTTTATTGTTATTTACATTCATGATGAATTTCACCTCCACACCAAGGACGTAAAAAGGTGAAAATCAAACTAAGGTGAATATTTGGTTAACTAAGTTGGGTCTGTGATTTTTACATCAAAACAATGAAACACACTTATATAATAATAACTAGAAACTTGTTTTTGTGAACAAAAACATATATCTCCCCTTATTAGCCAATAGACAAACTTCGGTATACAAATTTAAAGGGTCATATCTCTTTATATTGCGGGGCACGAGACACCCAAATTTAGAATGTGACACTCCTACTTCCCAAGATACACAACTATAGCAAGTTTGGTCAACGTAGGTGAAATAACATGGAAGTTATGCTGTGAGCATTAAAAAATAAACAAAGGGCCATAACTCTATATATAGTGGGGTACGAGACCTGATTTCATTGCGAGAGATTCCACCTTCCTAAGATACATAAATATGGTAAGACTGGTCAACGTAGGTGGAATAACATGGAACTTATGCTCCGGACAAACTTAGGTATTAAAAATAAACAAAGGGTCATAACTCTGTATATAGTGGGGCACGGGACCTAGTTCCAGTGCACTGCACACCTTCTGTGGGTGATGCAGGTATACTTCAATTTGATCAAGATATCTTTCAAGTTTGAAAGTTCTAGCTACCACAAGACTACTGTGCCTCCTTATAATGACTCCCCACTGGATGACCTAGTGTACCTAGGTATTTCTCTGTTTTCCTACATCGGACAATCACAAACCTAACATGATACAGCAGAAATCAATCTTCCTGCAAAAGCAGTTAAACACTTGAAATCAGATTAATTTTCTAGTATAATGCCCTATATAGCTATGATTGGTTACTCTTCCTAACCTTTCTAGTATAACGCCCTATATAGCTATGATTGGTTACTCATCCTTACCTTTCTAGTATAACGCCCTAATAGCTATGATTGGTTACTCGTCCTAACCTTTCTAGTATAACGCCCGGTGTAGCTATGATTGGTTACTCATCCTAGCCTTTCTAGTATAACGCCCTGTATCGCTATGATTGGTTACTCATCCCTACCTTTGTAGTATAACGCCCTGGATAGCTATGATTGGTTACTCATCCTAACCTTTCTAGTATCACGCCCTGTATAGCTATGATTGGTTACTCATCCCTACCTTTGTAGTATAACGCCCTGGATAGCTATGATTGGTTACTCATCCTAACCTTTCTAGTATAACGCCCTGTATAGCTATGATTGGTTACTCATCCCTACCTTTGTAGTATAACGCCCTGTATAGCTATGATTGGTTACTCATCCTTACCTTTTTAGTATAATGCCCTATATAGCTATGATTGGTTACTCATCCTTACCTTTCTAGTATAACGCCCTATATAGCTATGATTGGTTACTCTTCCTAACCTTTCTAGTATAACGCCCTATATAGCTATGATTGGTTACTCTTCCTAACCTTTCTAGTATAACGCCCTATATAGCTATGATTGGTTACTCTTCCTAACCTTTCTAGTATAACGCCCTATATAGCTATGATTGGTTACTCTTCCTAACCTTTCTAGTATAACGCCCTATATAGCTATGATTGGTTACTCTTCCTAACCTTTCTAGTATAACGCCCTATATAGCTATGATTGGTTACTCTTCCTAACCTTTCTAGTATAACGCCCTATATAGCTATGATTGGTTACTCTTCCTAACCTTTCTAGTATAACGCCCTATATAGCTATGATTGGTTACTCTTCCTAACCTTTCTAGTATAACGCCCTATATAGCTATGATTGGTTACTCTTCCTAACCTTTCTAGTATAACGCCCTATATAGCTATGATTGGTTACTCTTCCTAACCTTTCTAGTATAACGCCCTATATAGCTATGATTGGTTACTCTTCCTAACCTTTCTAGTATAACGCCCTATATAGCTATGATTGGTTACTCTTCCTAACCTTTCTAGTATAACGCCCTATATAGCTATGATTGGTTACTCTTCCTAACCTTTCTAGTATAACGCCCTATATAGCTATGATTGGTTACTCTTCCTAACCTTTCTAGTATAACGCCCTATATAGCTATGATTGGTTACTCTTCCTAACCTTTCTAGTATAACGCCCTATATAGCTATGATTGGTTACTCTTCCTAACCTTTCTAGTATAACGCCCTATATAGCTATGATTGGTTACTCTTCCTAACCTTTCTAGTATAACGCCCTATATAGCTATGATTGGTTACTCTTCCTAACCTTTCTAGTATAACGCCCTATATAGCTATGATTGGTTACTCTTCCTAACCTTTCTAGTATAACGCCCTATATAGCTATGATTGGTTACTCTTCCTAACCTTTCTAGTATAACGCCCTATATAGCTATGATTGGTTACTCTTCCTAACCTTTCTAGTATAACGCCCTATATAGCTATGATTGGTTACTCTTCCTAACCTTTCTAGTATAACGCCCTATATAGCTATGATTGGTTACTCTTCCTAACCTTTCTAGTATAACGCCCTATATAGCTATGATTGGTTACTCTTCCTAACCTTTCTAGTATAACGCCCTATATAGCTATGATTGGTTACTCTTCCTAACCTTTCTAGTATAACGCCCTATATAGCTATGATTGGTTACTCTTCCTAACCTTTCTAGTATAACGCCCTATATAGCTATGATTGGTTACTCATCCCTACCTTTCTAGTATAACGCCCTATATAGCTATGATTGGTTACTCTTCCTAACCTTTCTAGTATAACGCCCTATATAGCTATGATTGGTTACTCTTCCTAACCTTTCTAGTATAACGCCCTATATAGCTATGATTGGTTACTCTTCCTAACCTTTCTAGTATAACGCCCTATATAGCTATGATTGGTTACTCTTCCTAACCTTTCTAGTATAACGCCCTATATAGCTATGATTGGTTACTCTTCCTAACCTTTCTAGTATAACGCCCTATATAGCTATGATTGGTTACTCTTCCTAACCTTTCTAGTATAACGCCCTATATAGCTATGATTGGTTACTCTTCCTAACCTTTCTAGTATAACGCCCTATATAGCTATGATTGGTTACTCTTCCTAACCTTTCTAGTATAATGCCCTATATAGCTATGATTGGTTACTCATCCTAACCTTTCTAGTATAACGCCCTATATAGCTATGATTGGTTACTCATCCTAACCTTTCTAGTATAACGCCCTATATAGCTATGATTGGTTACTCTTCCTAACCTTTCTAGTATAACGCCCCATATAGCTATGATTGGTTACTCTTCCTAACCTTTCTAGTATAACGCCCTATATAGCTATGATTGGTTACTCATCCTTACCTTTCTAGTATAACGCCCTATATAGATATGATTGGTTACTCATCCCTACCTTTCTAGTATAACGCCCTATATAGCTATGATTGGTTACTCTTCCTAACCTTTCTAGTATAACGCCCTATATAGCTATGATTGGTTACTCATCCCTACCTTTCAGCCCATCGATGGAGTCGATGACGAGAGGTACACCACGCTCACGCAGACAGTTAGGCCAGTGAACGGTCAGCATCATGCGGCGGAAGTTGTGGTGGTAAGGTCCCAGGTAGATGGCCAGTGCCCCAGCCATTGCACATCCCCCCGGCACAGACATAATACGTCGCTCATACGAGTCAAAGATCTGCTGACATCTCTGACGCTCACCCTTCAGGGTCTGTTAAACAACACAATTAAGATATAGCTAGGTCATGAAGGCAGGAGTTAATAGTTTATCAGTTACATTTAAGATATTAGAGGGAAAACAGATATAGCTAGGTCATGAAGGCAGGAGTAAATAGTTTATCAGTTACATTTATGTCTCAATCAAGATATGGGCAATCAGCACTTAATTGTATACCATATACAATCATACAAAGAACTGGTTTTGTTATGTTCACTGTCATGAAGTAATGCCTACCCGTCTCAGCTGGGCTGCTGTTTCCAGCATCTTCTTCATTCTCACAGTCTTCTCATCTTGTTCGTTTTTGTCAATCGTTGCTTCCTCAAACCCTTTGGCCAGATCATCCAGCCTCACATCCAAACCCTAAGGACAACAGAATGTCTTAAATGTCATATAAATATCACCACAGGTCATTGACAGGTCAGGGCACATCTATTTCCCTGATTTGGTCGGCTGTCAAACTGAAGGACAATCTCATAAACATTGATAAAATATCTACTGTTTTTCTCCTTAAAACGCATCAACATCAGTACATGGTTTTAAATTACACATTTTCAAAAGTTCTCAGATACTTGCAGCTTGTACGTAAAATCTGCCACATACTAAATCTGTCACCTGCTGACATTAAGTAAAATCTGTTACACACTAAATCTGTCACCTGCTGACATTAAGTAAAATCTGCCACATACTAAATCTGTCACCTGCTGACATTAAGTAAAATCTGTTACACACTAAATCTGTCACCTGCTGACATTAAGTAAAATCTGTTACACACTAAATCTGTCACCTGCTGACATTAAGTAAAATCTGTTACACACTAAATCTGTCACCTGCTGACATTAAGTAAAATCTGTTACACACTAAATCTGTCACCTGCTGACATTAAGTAAAATCTGTTACACACTAAATCTGTCACCTGCTGACATTAAGTAAAATCTGTTACACACTAAATCTGTCACCTGCTGACATTAAGTAAAATCTGTTACACACTAAATCTGTCACCTGCTGACATTAAGTAAAATCTGTTACACACTAAATCTGTCACCTGCTGACATTAAGTAAAATCTGTTACACACTAAATCTGTCACCTGCTGACATTAAGTAAAATCTGTTACACACTAAATCTGTCACCTGCTGACATTAAGTAAAATCTGTTACACACTAAATCTGTCACCTGCTGACATTAAGTAAAATCTGTTACACACTAAATCTGTCACCTGCTGACATTAAGTAAAATCTGTTACACACTAAATCTGTCACCTGCTGACATTAAGTAAAATCTGTTACACACTAAATCTGTCACCTGCTGACATTAAGTAAAATCTGCCACATACTAAATCTGTCACCTGCTGACATTAAGTAAAATCTGTTACACACTAAATCTGTCACCTGCTGACATTAAGTAAAATCTGTTACACAGTTATGGAACGTAAAGTCTATCAGATTCATTGATACAGGGCAAATACATTTTGAAAGATGCAGGAAAAAAATGTGATCTTTTAGATTTGATTAGATGGTACCAGCCTCTAATCAATACTGATCTGGACTTGTTCTGCAGGGTTATATTGGTTCTCCAGTGACGCCATTTTGTGTTATGATATGTTGACATTTTGTGTTATGATATGTTGACATTTTGTGTTGTGATATGTTGACATTTTGTGTTATGATATGTTGACATTTTGTGTTATTATATGTTGACATTTTGTGTTATGATATGTTGACATTTTGTGTTGTGATATGTTGACATTTTGTGTTATGATATGTTGACATTTTGTGTTGTGATATGGACCCTCACCTTGCGTTTGTTCTCCAAAGTCGCCATTTTATGTTCTGCATCGTCAACAGCCTGAGTTGTCTCCTCCACTTTCTGATGGAGAGGTTTGACCTTGGAAATCATCATACGATGATACCTGTAGTGGATCGGACAGATTAACGTGTTACAGTGTCCGATACAAGTCAAGTAGTGTAGGATATCAACTCCTGTTACCAAAGGTGTTTGACATGTTTTGTGAAGGGGAATCAGAATATGCTTAAAAGTAATTCTTTAGAAGGCATTCCTTTTGGAGTGGCCCCTGATGATAGAATCTTCTTTAAATATTATTGCCATGCTTGAAAAAACAAGTTGAAATTTAGAGGGTAGTCATAACTGATAATTTATATAAAAGTAATCACTGTCATTTCTTCTAAATGTTTAAATGGGCTTTAGCTGAATTAAATGCTACAACAGCAAAGATGACAATCTAGTTACACAAACCTCACCTGACAACTCACTGACAACTCACTGACAACTCACCTGACAACTCCTCGAACCCATTTACACAGAGAACCACATGCCGAGTTGCCAGTCTTTCTCTCGAGAGTGTCTGGGTCAAACGAAGGCTTTTTAAGATATGGCTCGACCAGGTTCAATGTTGACTCAGCCAACTGGTTGTCGTCAAATGATGTAAGCTCCTCAATAAACCTGGAGCACATAAAACAATAGTTATTTCATTGTTTGTTACCTACTCTATAACCACTCATCTTGTGGACCCCCTTTTTGTGATTACCAGATGAATTTTTTACATAATATAACAAAAACATTATATATACCTCAATTTATCAAGTTGTTCAAGATAATGTTCAGAGTCAATGAGACTCCAGATAAGGTCCAGAGTCAATGAGACTCCAGATAAGGTCCAGAATCAATAAGACTCCAGATAAGGTTCAGAGACAATGAGACTCCAGATAAGGTTCAGAGTCAATGAGACTCCAGATAAGGTCCAGAGTCAATGAGACTCCAGATAAGGTTCAGAGACAATGAGACTCCAGATAAGGTCCAGAGTCAATGAGACTCCAGATAAGGTCTAGAATCAATGAGACTCCAGATAAGGTCCAGAATCAATGAGACTCCAGATAAGGTCTAGAATCAATGAGACTCCAGATAAGGTTCCGAGTCAATAAGACTCCAGATAAGGTTCAGAGTCAATAAGACTCCAGATAAGGTTCAGAATCAATGAGACTCCAGATAACGTTCAGAATCAATTAGACTCCAGATAACGTTCAGAATCAATTAGACTCCAGATAACATTTAGAGTCAATGAGACTCCAGATAAGGTCCAGAGTCAATGAGGCCACAGAACCCAAACTTACCTCTCCAGGTTAGCCATCTGACGTTTAGCTCCCTTCTGCCATGTTAGATCAGCAGAGGGTGTCTTTACTGATAAGGTTCAGAGTCAATGAGACTCCAGATAACATTTAGAGTCAATGAGACTCCAGATAAGGTCCAGAGTCAATGAGTCTCCAGATAAGGTCCAGAGTCAATGAGTCTCCAGATAAGGTTCAGAGTCAATGAGGCTCCAGATAAGGTTCAGAGTCAATTAGACTCCAGATAAGGTCCAGAATCAATGAGACTCCAGATAAGGTTCAGAGACAATGAGACTCCAGATAAGGTCCAGAATCAATGACACTCCAGATAAGGTTCAGAGTCAATGAGACTCTAGATAACGTTCAGAATCAATTAGACTCCAGATAAGGTTCAGAGTCAATGAGACTCTAGATAACGTTCAGAATAAATTAGTCTCCAGATAAGGTTCAGAGTCAATGAGACTCCAGATAAGGTTCAGAGTCAATGAGACTCCAGATAAGGTACAGAGTCAATGAGACTCTAGATAACGTTCAGAATAAATTAGACTCCAGATAAGGTTCAGAGTCAATGAGACTCCAGATAAGGTTCAGAGTCAATGAGTCTCCAGATAACGTTCAGAATCAATTAGACTCCAGATAACATTCAGAGTCAATGGGACTCCAGATAACATTCAGAGTCAATGAGGCCACAGAACCCAAACTTACCTCTCAAGGTTAGCCATCTGACGTTTAGCTCCCTTCTGCCATGTTAGATCAGCAGAGGGTGTCTTTACTGTAACACAAACATGTTTTATACATTATTGTGTTTTTTTTACAAAATTGTTTATGTTCTTGAACAATTATTTGCATCCAATATTTAAGAAAAATAAAAAACAAACAAAAACCAAAACTTGCAGATCTGGTGATCCCAGTACCACACTTACAAATCATGATAACTGCTGTCATCAGGTCCTCTATATCTATGATAGGTTTGTTCATGCCTCGAAGCTCGGCCAGTTTCTCACTGTTCATGCTTTGAACAACTTTCTTGGTGTCAGCCACAATGGCGATGGCCTTGTACACAGCTCGCTCGTGGGCCACCTGGTACTCTGGTAGTAACTACAAATCAGCAACAAAATATCAGGAAATCCATTTTCTATATTGATTTATAAGTAAGAGAGACCAGCAAAAGTTGTGTAATCATCTAAATCTTGTTAAAACTTCACTAAAATGGAAAATTCTTTTGATTCATTATTCATGAATTTAAATAAACAACAAATATTGTTTGAGATGAATGTATACTGACCTTGAGTTCAAGGATTTTGACGTATACTGGCCTTGAGTTTAGAGATGTTGACCAGGGAGACAGATGTATACTGACCTTGAGTTTAGAGATTTTGACCAGGAAGACAGATGTATACTGGCCTTGAGTTTAGACCTTCTGACCAGGGAGACAGATGTATCCTGGCCTTGAGTTTAGAGATGTTGACCAGGGAGACAGATGCATACTGACCTTGAGTTTAGAGATGTTGGCCAGGGAGACAGATGTATACTGACCTCGAGTTTAGAGATTTCGACCAGGGAGACAGATGTATACTGACCTCGAGTTTAGAGATTTCGACCAGGGAGACAGATGTATCCTGGCCTTGAGTTTAGAGATGTTGTCAAGGGAGACAGATGTATACTGACCTCGAGTTTAGAGATGTTGACAAGGAGACAGATGTATACTGACCGCGAGTTTAGAGATGTTGACCAGGGAGATAGATGTATACTGACCTTGAGTTTAGAGATGTTGACAAGGAGACAGATGTATACTGACCTTGAGTTCAAGGATTTTGAAGTATACTGGCCTTGAGTTTAGAGATTTTGACCAGGGAGACAGATGTTTACTGACCTTGAGTTTAGAGATTTTGACCAGGGAGACAGATGTATACTGGCCTTGAGTTTAGAGATTTTGACAAGGGAGACAGATGTATACTGACCTTGAGTTTAGAGATTTTGAAAAGGGAGACAGAAGTATACTAACCTTCTTGAGTTTAGAGATTTTGTCGAGCTGGGCCTTGACAACCTTGATCTGCTGTTCTGTGATGGCTGTGTCCTGACCAATCTGTGACAGAATCTTGATAGTGCCCTGAAGAATAAAACATCAGATGATGAACATTAAGGTTACCATGGTGTTTTCCTAATGTTAATGCCATTTGTCCAGGACCTCACCACATAAATTGCTCTATATATTTGTGCAATAAATTGACAGTTTAGAGTTTTGTATGGAGTGATTCTTGACTAGAAAATGATGTGCTGAGTTTGCACATTACTTGTACAGCCAAAATGGCAAAAGCAACAATGCCACAAAAACGGTTTCCATGTGACGGTTTCTAATGAAGATTTGTCTCTGTTCCGGTTTCATTCCCATTAGTGTCTATAAACTGGACAGAAACAGTAGTACCATACATGTTTATTCATATCACTCCTACTGCAATTAACATTGATTTCAAATCTATTTACAACAAGAAAAGCTGTTTGAATATGAGATCGGCCGTTAGATGGTGTTCATGACAATTTACTCACAGCCTTCCTCTCCTCCAGGACAATCATTTCGTGCTCCTGTTGTTTGCGGAGTTTGATAGCAACCTCATTTTCCCGTCGTATCTGGTTAAGTGAACTAGTCACAGCTTCATGCACTTCGTTCACCTCCTTGTGTTTGGTGCTAGCTAGGGAAATATACCTAAAATGGTCGACATATCAATACATGTTAGGGGTTTTAACATTATATCAACTGCAGTGAACACATGAATTTTAGATATTAAAGAAATATTATTTGAAACCCACCTTTGATAGGACAGTCAAAAGAGGCAAAGCATTTACACATCAATAGCAATATCCTAGCTGTCTATAATGACTTTAGACTATACAACACCCAGCCTATAACACATTCTGATTACTATATTATACATTGATGTCACAGGAGGCACGGTAGTCCAGTGGTAGGACGCCGGGCTCGTGACCGAAGGGTTGCGGGTTCGCGCCACGGCACAGCAATGTGTTGTATCTTTGAGCAAGATACTTTACTCCGCTTGTTCCAGTCTACTCAGCTGTAAATGAGCACATGGTTGGGCAGTGCTAGAATTGTTGAATGCTAGCTGGTAGCGCCGAAATGGCAGCTCCGGCTGTATGCTCCCCAGGGAGCTGAGAAAGGTATTGGCTGGTTGCAAAGGCCCTATAACCACGGATAATAATTTGTGAACCGATTTGAGACGACCTACGAACTAGGTTGTGATAAATCGGTATATAAGAACCTCCAAATATTATTATTATTATTATTGATATTTTGATGGTAGTGGCCTTACCTCTCTACAAACTTTTCGTAGGTTGTGTTGGTAATATGACGATACTCGCCAGAGTCCTTTTCCTGGCCATCCTGCTGACGAAGCACCAAGTGCATGGACGCTAGCATGTGAGCAATGTTTTCTCTTTGTATGTCTGTCATCCAGGTCACATCTGGTCAACACACAAACTCATATTTACATCTAGGGTCAAGTTAACCAATTAGGTTTACTAAATATTGTATCTTCACATGGGAAGTTATCAGCTAGGTTTTGTATTGATGGTAAGTTAAATAATACAGACAGTATTGTTTATTTGATGTATTCAAAGCCCCTAACTTCTTGAAGATGAAACAATGATAAACTAAGTCTTTGGTACATATATACGTACACTTAGCTATTTCAAAGTAATTACGAGAGAATTGATAGAACTACTGAAATTTTCAAAATCTGACTACATATTACAACAGTGAGTTAATCCTATAACGAGGAAGGGACCACTGACCTTTGAGGTGGTAGAGGGCGTGTTCCACCAGCTGTAGTTTGGACCAATGAGGTAGCCAGATAAAGTTTACACTCTTGGTGAATGCTGGGTACTCTCGGCATCGTCGCTGGAACATTTTACCACTGTCGCTAGAGATCAGGCAGATACGGAAGTTGTTCCTCACAGTCCTGTAACACAAATAGCCAGGCCATCTCAATGATAGGTAGATAGGATAAACCTATGGTTACAATATTGTTAGATGTTCCAAGTAAGTAAATTCAAAGCTGCTAAGAATCAATACCATAATCAGTTCTACCAATCCAAGCTGACACTGGCAACATTTCTGTTAACTAATTCAACAGGATTATGTGCACACGTGCATTGGAGGTGAGCATTTTCTTTGCTAACATAAACTAACTTGAAGCTCATGTACAAAACTAATTTGCATAAATTTCCAACTTGATTTTCGTGTCCTGCTCATGAGCTACTAGTAAGTGTCTAATGTGTAAAGGTTAGATTTGTCTGTATAGGTAGCTAAGCTACTGCTTACAGGTGGGGTGTCATAAGTGTAAATTAGGTGTCACAGGTGTAAGTTAGGTGACACAGGTGTAAGTGAGGTGTCGCAGGTGTAAGTGAGGTGTCACAGGTGTAAGTGAGGTGTCACAGGTGTAAGTGAGGTGTCGAAGGTGTAAGTGAGGTATCACAGGTGTAAGTGAGGTGTCACAGGTGTAAGTGAGGTGTCACAGGTGTATGCGAGGTGTCACAGGTGTAAGTTAGGTGTCACAGGTGTAAGTGAGGTGGCGCAGGTGTAAGTGAGGTGTTGCAGGTGTAAGTGAGGTGACGCAGGTGTAAGTGAGGTGTCACAGGTGTAAGTGAGGTGTCACAGGTGTAAGTGAGGTGTCACAGGTGTAAGTGAGGTGTTGCCTCACGTAAGCTACAGCCTTATACATATTGTACTGGTGACTTACTGTAGGAAGAAGTTCCAGGCAGTGTCCCTAGTATAAGTAAGTCCTGCCTGTGTCACCTCCGTTCTGATGGAGTTGATGATAGTTGTCTGCTCCTCATATGTAAACAGATGACTGATGGAGCCCCCTACGATGAACTCGATGAGGTAGACGAGGAAGTCCTCCTCTAGCAGTTCCTCCTCATGCAGCAGTAAAAGGATCTTTTCACCCTGTACAACACATTCATCAAATATCACTAATGGTAACTCTTAGTTTATATATTTCCACATTCCTTCCAACAAAAAGGCTGAAAAGAGAAATCAGATTATAAACATATCTGAGTCAGAGAAGAATTGTGAAGTTTCACAGATTTGTATGTATTTACTCTGAGTATCAGAAGTACATATGCTCTGTAGGTACTGTAGGGAGAAAGTATCACCAAACATTCTTCATACTGATTTTTATAACTGTTTGATACATTTACAAGGATGAAATGTGTTAAGGATACAGAAGCCATGTTTCAGTGATATTGGTCCCTCCATTCATGAAGAGTGCATACTAAATCTGTAAGCATCCTTTTTCAATTATGATGTATAGCTGACAAATGTAATATACAGGTAAAAATGAAGTGTAATACATGATTGTATACGAGTCAAAAACCATCAGTTTATCAAATGTTGTTTTTAAAGGGTTTTTCCCTCTTAAAACTGTGTCAATGAAAGTATAACAACATATAACAGAAAACAATAAAAGTCTAAATTATATGCCATACAAACCCTATCTGGAACACTAAATATACATTGCACAAACTGAACATTTCTAACATGATAGAAGATGACATAATTTCAAACATTTTAGTTTATAGTTTATTTTTTGTCTTTTCAAATTTGCAACATCAAAATTGAACTTAGGTTCAAAAATGTTTTTTCCTGTGTTGTACTGACATCAGAAAAAAAAAACTAAATTTGTATAACATATTTTTTTCAAATTGAATAAATGGATTATTGAAACTTAAAGACCAAGTGCTATAGCTAACACAGAAAAAGCTGGGAAGGAACACTTCCTGGGTGGTAATCGATTTCTCTGATAATAATTTTGACAATCAATGTACATAAAAAGTCCTATTAAATTGATATGATTTTATGAAAAACATGTTATTCAACTCAAATATTCATATGTAAAATAAATATTACACAGGAGATGTATAATTTAAATTTCCTATAAAATAAAGGATATACCAATTTAAACATATTATCAATATTAAAACTGAACTTAATGTGTAAAACAGTAAGATACAATAATAGGCAACAAAACCAATAAAACTAGCAACAGGCAACAAACTGATGTCCTTAATGGGTGTCACAGAAAGGATTGTAGAAGACTGAGGTTAACTATCTATACCAATCAGGGGCATGCGTGGGGCTGTGAACCTGACATGTATGATACAGTGGGGCTGTGAACCTGACATGTATGGTACAGTGGGGCTGTGAACCTGAAATGTATGGTACAGTAGGGCTGTGAACTTGACATGTATGATACAGTAGGGCTGTGAACTTGACATGTATGATACAGTGGGGCTGTGAACCTGACATGTATGATACAGTGGGGCTGTGAACTTGACATGTATGATACAGTGGGGCTGTGAACTTGACATGTATGATACAGTGGGGCTGTGAACCTGACATGTATGATACAGTGGGGCTGTGAACTTGACATGTATGATACAGTGGGGCTGTGAACTTGACATGTATGATACAGTGGGGCTGTGAACTTGACATGTATGATACAGTGGGGCTGTGAACTTGACATGTATGATACAGTGGGGCTGTGAACTTGACATGTATGATACAGTGGGGCTGTGAACTTGACATGTATGATACAGTGGGGCTGTGAACCTGACATGTATGATACAGTGGGGCTGTGAACTTGACATGTATGATACAGTGGGGCTGTGAACTTGACATGTATGATACAGTGGGGCTGTGAACTTGACATGTATGATACAGTGGGGCTGTGAACTTGACATGTATGATACAGTGGGGCTGTGAACTTGACATGTATGATACAGTGGGGCTGTGAACTTGACATGTATGATACAGTAGGGCTGTGAACTTGACATGTATGATACAGTGGGGCTGTGAACCTGACATGTATGATACAGTGGGGCTGTGAACTTGACATGTACAGTACAGTAGGGCTGTGAACCTGACATGTACAGTACAGTGGGGCTGTGAACTTGACATGTACAGTACAGTAGGGCTGTGAACTTGACATATATGGTACAGTGGGGCTGTGAACTTGACATGTATGATACAGTGGGGCTGTGAACCTGACATGTACAGTACAGTGGGACTGTGAACCTGACATGTATGGTACAGTGGGGCTGTGAACTTGACATGTAGGATACAGTGGGGCTGTGAACCTGACATGTATGATACAGTGGGGCTGTGAATTTGACATGTATGGTACAGTAGGGCTGTGAACCTGACATGTACAGTACAGTGGGACTGTGAACCTGACATGTATGGTACAGTGGGGCTGTGAACCTGACATGTACAGTACAGTGGGGCTGTGAACCTGACATGTATGATACAGTGGGGATGTGAACTTGACATGTATGATACAGTGGGGCTGTGAACCTGACATGTACAGTACAATGGGGCTGTGAACCTGACATGTATGATAGTGGGGCTGTGAACCTGACATGTATAGTACAGTGGGGCTGTGAACCTGACATGTACAGTACAGTGGGGCTGTGAACTTGACATGTATGATACAGTGGGGCTGTGAACTTGACATGTATGATACAGTGGGGCTGTGAACCTGACATGTACAGTACAATGGGGCTGTGAACCTGACATGTATGATAGTGGGGCTGTGAACCTGACATGTATAGTACAGTGGGGCTGTGAACCTGACATGTACAGTACAGTGGGGCTGTGAACTTGACATGTATGATACAGTGGGGCTGTGAACTTGACATGTATGATACAGTGGGGCTGTGAACCTGACATGTACAGTACAATGGGGCTGTGAACCTGACATGTATGATAGTGGGGCTGTGAACCTGACATGTATGATACAGTGGGGCTGTGAACCTGACATGTACAGTACAGTGGGGTTTTGAACCTGACATGTATGATACAGTGGGGCTGTGAACCTGACATGTATGAATTATTATTAATAATAACACTGTTCAATAATAAACTCTGTGGAGATAACCCTGGGCAGTAATAAACTCTGTGTGGGGATAACCCTGGGCAGTAATGATCTCTGTGTGGGGATAACACTGAACAGGTATAAACTCTGTGTGGGGATAACCCTGGGCAGTAATAAACTCTGTGTGGGAATAACACTGTACAGTAATAAAAACTGTGTAGGGAAAACACTGTGCAGTAATAAAATGTGTGTAGGGAAAACACTGTGCAGTAATAAACTCTGTGTGAGGATAACACTGTACAGTAACAAACTCTGTGTGGGAATAAAACTGTACAGGAATAAACTCTGTGTGGGGAGAACCCTGGGCAGTAATGATCGCTGTGTGGGGATAACACTGTAGAGTAATAAACTCTGTGTGGGATTAACACTGTACAGTAATAAAATCTGGGTGGGGAAAACACTGTACAGTAACAAACTCTGTGTGGGAATAACAATGTACAGGAATAAACTCTGAGTAGGAATAACACTGTACAGTAGTAAAATCTGAGTAGGGAAAACACTGTACAGTACTAAAATCTGTGTAGGGAAAAAACTGTACAGTAATAAAATCTTTGTAGGGAAAAGACTGTACAGTAATAAAGTCTGTGTGGGAATAACACTGTGCAGTAATAAAATGTGTGTAGGGAAAACACTGTATAGTAATAAACTCTGTGTGGTAATAAGACTGTACAGTAATAAAGTCTGTGTGGGAATAACACTGTGCAGTAATAAAATCTGTGTAGGGGAAACACTGTACAGTAATAAAATCTGGGTAAGGAAAACACTGTACAGTAAGAAACTCTGTGTGGGGATAACCCTGGGCAGTTATAACTAACTCTGTGTGGGGATAACCCTGGGCAGTTATAACTAACTCTGTGTGGGGATAACACTGTCCATTAATAAAATCTGTGTGGGGAAAACACTGTACAGTAATAAAATCTGGGAAGGGAAAACCCTGTACAGTAATAAATTCTGTGTAGGGAAAACACTGAACGGTAATAAACTCTGTGTTGGAATAACACTGTACAGTAGTAAACTCTGTGTGGGAATAACCCTGTACAGTAATAAAATCTGTTTAGGGAAAACACTGTACAGTATTAAACTCTGTGTGGGAATAACCCTGTACAGTAATAAAATCTGTGAAGGGAAAACCCTGTACAGTAATAAAATCTGTTTAGGGAAAACACTGTACAGTAACAAACTCTGTGTGGGAATAAAACTGTACAGTAATAAAATTGGTGTAGGGAAAAAACTGTACAGTAATAAAATTGGTGTAGGGAAAAAACTGTACAGTAGTAAACTCTGTGTGGGAATAACCCTGTACAGTAATAAAATCTGTTTAGGGAAAACACTGTACAGTAGTAAACTCTGTGTGGGAATAACCCTGTACAGTAATAAAATCTGGGTAAGGAAAACACTGTACAGTAATAAAAGCTGTTTAGGGAAAACACTGTACAGGAATAAAATCTGTGTAGGGAAAACAATGAACAGTAATAAACTCAGTGTGGGAATAACACTGTACGGTAATAAAATCTGTGTAGGGAAAAAACTGTACAGTAATAAACTATGTGTGGGAATCACACTTTACAGGAATAAAATCTGTGTAGGGAGAACACTGTACAGTAATAAAATCTGCGTGGGGATAACACTGTACAGTTATAAACTCTGTGTGGGGATAACAATGGACAGTTATAAACTATGTGTAGAGATTACCCTATACAATAATAATCTCTGTGTGGGGATAACCCTGGGCAGAAATAAACTCTGTGTGGGGATAACCCTGGGCAGTTATAACTAACTCTGTGTGGGGATAACACTCTACAGTAATAAAATCTGTGAAGGGAAAACCCTGTACAGTAATAAATTCTGTGTAGGGAAAACACTGTGCAGTAATAAAATCTGTGTAGTGAAACCACTGTACAGTAATAAACTCTTTGTGGGAATAACACTGTACAGAAATAAACTCTGTGGGGGGATAACACTCTACAGTAATAAAATCTGTGAAGGGAAAACACTGTACAGTACTAAAATCTGTGTAGGGAAAACAATGAACAGTAATAAACTCAGTGTGGGAATAACACTGTACGGTAATAAAATCTGTGTAGGAAAAACACTGTACAGTAATAAAATCTGGGTAAGGAAAACACTGTACAGTAATAAAATTGGTGTAGGGAAAAAACTGTACAGTAATAAAATTGGTGTAGGGAAAAAACTGTACAGTAATAAAATTGGTGTAGGGAAAAAACTGTACAGTAATAAACTATGTGTGGGAATCACACTTTACAGGAATAAAATCTGTGTAGGGAAAAAACTGTACAGTAGTAAACTCTGTGTGGGAATAACCCTGTACAGTAATAAAATCTGCGTGGGGATAACACTGTACAGAAATAAACTCTGTGTAGGGAAAACACTGGACAGTAATAAACTCTGTGTTGGAATAACACTGTACAGTAATAACATCTGTGTGGGGATAACACTCTACAGTAATAAAATCTGTGTGGGGAAAACACTATACAGTAATAAACTCTGTGGGGGGATAACACTGTACAGTAACAAAATCTGTGTAGGGAAAACCCTGTACAGTAATAAAATCTGGGAAGGGAAAACCCTGTACAGTAATAAAATCTGGGTAAGGAAAACACTGTACAGTAAGAAACTCTGTGTGGGAATAACCCTGTACAGTAATAAACTCTTTGTGGGGATAACACTGTACAGTTATAAACTCTGTGTGGGGATAACACTGTAGAGTAATAAACTCTGTGTGGGATTAACACTGTACAGTAATAAAACCTGTGTAGGGAAAACACTGAACGGTAATAAACTCTGTGTTGGAATAAAACTGTACAGTAATAAAATCTGGCAATGAGGCTGGGGAATCATCCTTGGAACAAGTGTGGAGATTACTCTGGGAGTGAGGGTGTAGGGGCGGGGATATATTGGTGGGAACGAGTGTGGAGATTACTTTGGGCGTGAGGGGGTAGGGTCGGGGATATATTGGTGGGAACAAGTGTGGAAATTACTTTGGGAGTGAGGGAGTAGGGTCGGGGATATATTGGTGGGAACAATTGTCTCCTCATAGTGTGCAAGGTATGCTGATAAAACACAAAGGGCAACATGCATAGGTGAAGTTGTTTTACATACAGAGCTGGAGCTGTTCACCTAGTAAAAACAAAATCATACTGCAATGTTAGGTTTAAGGTAGTTTGCATAGACATTTTTGTATCAATATGATGTTGATTATACTTTACATAGATGGAGTAGGAGGAGAGTACCTAGGACACTTAATGGGTGACAATTCTGAAGTATCATAGAACAAGGCAAACAGATGAAACAAAACTGTTTTTATGATCACATTTTCAGCAGATACAGAACCCCTTTCATAAATTCAGTCACCATACAGCTGTACTTAATGTTGAATTCAATTTAACACCATCATAATTGTCAAGGTAAAATTTGAACTGAGGTAATATGGGGTCCTTTCCATGTTACAACTAGAGAAACTGAGCAAGCTCACAGAGATATACCCCCGCTTACACTTACAGTGTTTCTTGAGCAGAGATTAAAGTTTCAAGGGCCATAACTACAGGGAAAATCACAAATTGCTTTTCATGCACATTTACATATGATGTACTTTCAATGTTACAAGTAACAAAAAAATCCAACAAACTGTGCTTACAAGGTTTCTGGAGCAGAGACTTTTAAGGACCATAACCTTAGGAAAACCAGTGGAATCACAAAATCCTCTTTTATGCACATCTACATATGATGTACTATCCAACACATGGTTAAGGAGGAGTTTGCTTACAAGGATCATGGACGGATGGACGGACAGACAGGGTGATTCCTATAGATCCTACAAAATTTGTTTGTAGGGGGGGGGGTATGGATAAGAATAAACTAGACTAAATGTGTGGGAGACCTTTTTGATGATGTGTAGAATAAGACTTCCCTGTATGAGTGACTGGCACCAATTGGTGTCACATCAATGGTTACGAAGATAAATCTAGTTTTAAGTCTGCTAATATCAGATGTTGAAACCAAGATAAAAGTTTTCATAAGATAAATCCTCCTATTAACTGAGGTTTCTTCAACTCCTTTAAATATGAAAGGAACATGGGGTTCCATCTTAGTTCTTCCTTAATATCTGAAATCTAGAGCCTTATCTACACCTGTACATTGGTCTATATAAACTTGACAACAAATTTATTAAACTTTTAATACAGATTTATCCAGTCTTTTGCTTAACATATACTGACCTTTGACCCAGCACGGGTGTAACCTTGCACGAGGTCGGCCTTGAATTGATCCATCTTATACTCTGCTGTGGCGCCCATAGAGGAGGGGTTGATCTGGTGTACAGTGTAGCCACACAGGTGGGCAGCCAGCTTCACAATGACAGTACAGCGCCCCGGGCAACCCTCTGCATTCAGTACAATATGGGCACTCTCATGGGGGGAGGCGATCGTACGCGCAATGCGACACACCTGCTCAACAACTGACTGTAACCACAAACACAAATCTGTACTTTAGTATTAGATTAATTCATAACTGTTCAAAATCAAGCTTACAAAGGATTTACACCAGAAGATTTTATTTGCTGTGAGGGAGTTTTTCTAACACTGACCTTGTACAGGGCTAATTTGATGCGAGGGTGTATTTTGTTGTACTCCTCCACACCTCGCTCCATCAGAGCCTTGGCTTCAGTCTGAATGTATATAGGTTTGTAAAGATCTGTGCGTGCGTCCTCCTCGGACACCTGAGAGCTGTGGCGCATGTCTATCATACCAGCGGTGACCACTCCACTGTCCTGTTCTATCAGGTTACTGAACAAAGGACGCCGCGTCTTAATGAGTAGCTGGATCTGTATAGAACACAAGATTTTCATGGGAATTGGCCAAACTCCAACGATTTTGTAACTTGTAACGTATCCAAAGAAATAAAACAATAACCAATATAATTAATGATTTGTAGATTAAAGCATTTTAAATATAAAAAGAAAGAAAATCTAATTGAATTGAAATAACAGGCTTAAGAGTAAAGTGGTGATATTTGGGAGAACAATTAATGTATACAGGTTAGATGATCTCCCCTTAGACTAAATTAAGTGGTACCTCAATATTGTAAATTATAAAAGAGGTTGACATGTACAGTGGTTGTAGTAACGGAGGTGGTCTGTGTGGCTGACTTTGGTATTACTTACGTATTCATCTGCTGTAAACTCCTTTTTGACAGCTGTTGAGAACGCCTGTTTGAATCGCCGGAAATCAACATCCAGCACCATACGATGGCCATATACCCAGAACGTCTCATGTTGCCACAGTAACAGTACATTCTTCTTAGAGCAACCAGGTTGTAGGGACAAACAGAGATTCCTGTACAACAGAGTATAACATTACAACCAGGTTGTAGGGACAAACAAGGATTCCTGTACAACAGAGTACAACATTACAACCAGGTTATTGTTGGGACAAACAGAGATTCCTGTACAACAGAGTATAACATTACAACCAGGTTGTAGGGACAAGGTAGAGATTCCTGTACAACATAGTATAACATTACAACCAGGTTGTAGGGACAAACAGAGATTCCTGTACAACAGAGTATAACATTACAACCAGGTTGTAGGGACAAACAAGGATTCCTGTACAACAGAGTACAACATTACAACCAGGTTATTGTTGGGACAAACAGAGATTCCTGTACAACAGAGTATAACATTACAACCAGGTTGTAGGGACAAGGTAGAGATTCCTGTACAACATAGTATAACATTACAACCAGGTTGTAGGGACAAACAGAGATTCCTGTACAACAGAGTATAACATTACAACCAGGTTGTAGGGACAAACAAGGATTCCTGTACAACAGAGTACAACATTACAACCAGGTTATTGTTGGGACAAACAGAGATTCCTGTACAACAGAGTATAACATTACAACCAGGTTGTAGGGACAAGGTAGAGATTCCTGTACAACATAGTATAACATTACAACCAGGTTGTAGGGACAAACAGAGATTCCTGTACAACAGAGTATAACATTACAACCAGGTTGTAGGGACAAACAAGGATTCCTGTACAACAGAGTACAACATTACAACCAGGTTATTGTTGGGACAAACAGAGATTCCTGTACAACAGAGTATAACATTACAACCAGGTTGTAGGGACAAGGTAGAGATTCCTGTACAACATAGTATAACATTACAACCAGGTTGTAGGGACAAACAGAGATTCCTGTACAACAGAGTATAACATTACAACCAGGTTGTAGGGACAAACAAGGATTCCTGTACAACAGAGTACAACATTACAACCAGGTTATTGTTGGGACAAACAGAGATTCCTGTACAACAGAGTATAACATTACAACCAGGTTGTAGGGACAAGCAGAGATTCCTGTACATCAGAGTATAACATTACAACCAGGTTGTAGGGACAAACAAGGATTCCTGTACAACAGAGTACAACATTACAACCAGGTTATTGTTGGGACAAACAGAGATTCCTGTACAACAGAGTATAACATAACAACCAGGTTATTGTAGGGACAAACAGAGATTCCTGTACAACAGAGTATAGCATTACAACCAGGTTCATTACAGAAGCTTAAAAGTTTATCTACATTACATATACACACAAAAGCTATAGTGTTTATAGAGTTTACTGTTTATCCTTGGGTAACTAACATGAAGGACATACTTAAATATGGTGGACAGGTCTCTGACAGTGAAGATGTAGTGACATCGCTGGGCAGTCGGTAGAAACATGGAGCGCAGTCTGTCCTGGAGCTCCACGTTAACCTGTACAATCAGCGACAGCAGCCTCCTCATGGCATCCTCCTCCTCCCTCTGTAGGGTCTGGGCCTGGGGCAAAAGAGAAAGGTTTCAAATTAACAAGATTCAGGAGTGATAGTGTTAATACAACACAGTTTTCAGCACAAAGTTCAGTGTAAATTACGCCGTGGACAAAGGCCAATTTAACAGAGGTCACAAGTCCAAGTGTTGGTGAAACAGTCCTCCTAGCTGAAGTTTGATGTGATATGGTCTCTAGAGTAAAGGTAACTTTTAAAGGGGCAGTCATGTGACCTTAACAGGGGTTGTTATGTGACCTTTACAAAGTTCCATGTGACTTAAACAGGGACTGTTATGTGACCTTAACAGGGGCAGTAATGTGACCTTAACAAGCAGTCATGTGACATTAACCGGCAGTCATTTGACCTTAACAAAGCCAGTTACGTGACCTTAACAGAGTCGGCTGTCATGTGACTTAAATGGGTAGTCATGTTACCTGAACAGTAACTGTCATGTGACCTAAACAGTGACTGTCATGTACCTTAACAGGGACGGTCATGTATCTTAACAGAGGCTGTCATGTACCTTAACAGAGTAGGCAGTCATGTACCTTAACAGAGAAGGCTGTCATGTAACTTAACAGAGTAGGCTGTGTTGTAACTTAACAGGGACTGTCATGTACCTTAACAGGGACTGTCATGTACCTTAACAGAGTAGGCTGTGTTGTACCTTAACAGAGTAGGCTGTGTTGTACCTTAACAGGGACTGTCATGTACCTTAACAGAGTAGGCTGTCATGTACCTTAACAGAGAAGGCTGTCATGTACCTTAACAGAGGCTGTAATGTACCATAACAGAGGCTGTCATGTACCTTAACAGAGGCTGTCATGTACCTTAACAGGGACTGTCATGTACCTTAACAGAGTCGGCTGTCTTGTACCTTAACAGGGACTGTCATGTACCTTAACAGAGTAGGCTGTCTTGTATCTTAACAGAGGCTGACATGTACCTTAACAAGGGACTGTCATGTACCTTAACAGAGGCTGTCATGTACCATAACAGAGTCAGCTGTCTTGTACCTTAACAGGGACTGTCATGTACCTTAACAGAGTCGGCTGTCATGTACCTTAACAGGGACTGGCATGTACCTTAACAGAGTAGGCTGTCATGTACCTTAACAGAGGCTGTCATGTACCTTAACAGAGCCTATCATGTACCTTAACAGAGGCTGTCATGTACCATAACAGAGTCAGCTGTCGTGTACCTTAACAGGGACTGTCATGTACCTTAACAGAGTCGGCTGTGTTGTTCCTTAACAGGGACTGTCATGTACCTTAACAGAGTAGGCTGTCATGTCCCTTAACAGAGGCTGTCATGTACCTTAACAGAGGCTATCATGTGACCTTAACAGGGACTGCCATGTACCTTAACAGAGTCGGCTGTCATGTACCTTAACAGGGACTGGCATGTACCTTAACAGAGTCGGCTGTGTTGTTCCTTAACAGGGACTGTCATGTACCTTAACAGGGACTGTCATGTACCTTAACAGGAACTGTCATGTACCTTAACAGGGATGGTCATGTACCTTAACAGGGACGGTCATTTACCTTTACAGAGGCTGTCATGTACCTTAACAGGGACTGTCATGTACCTTTACAGAGACTGTCATGTGACCTTAACAGGGACTGTCATGTACCTTAACAGGGACTGTCATGTACCTTAACAGGGACGGTCATTTACCTTAACAGAGACTGTCATGTATCTTAACAGGGACGGTCATGTACCTTTACAGAGGCTGTCATGTACCTTAACAGAGGCTATCATGTGACCTTAACAGGGACTGCCATGTACCTTAACAGGGACGGTCATTTACCTTTACAGAGGCTGTCATGTACCTTAACAGGGACTGTCATGTACCTTTACAGAGACTGTCATGGACCTTTACAGAGGCTGTCATGTATCTTAACAGAGGCTGTCATGTACCTTAACAGGGACTGTCATGTACCTTAACAGGGACTGTCATGTACCTTTACAGAGGCTGTCATGTACCTTAACAGAGGCTGCCATGTTTGTTAACAAAGCCCCATGTGACTTTTAATCTTTCTGTGCCGCAACTCTGGTCTGGAATCCTAACTAGACTCATGTTAAATTTGAGAGTCACCTCTACAGAGGAATCTCACACATTATCAGAATTAAACTTACTTTTAAAAATGTAAGCATGCATAGTTATACCAGCCATAAAACCAAGTAGTGAACCAGTGTTAATGGTTTCCCCAGAGCCATGTTAGATGACAACAGTTATCTACCTTCTCATCATGGCCATGATGTCCCCCGGCAAGGTTGGCACCACTGGACGTCTCTGGGGTGATGAAGTGTGTGTGAAGGAGGGTCGAGAAGATCGTCTGCAGGTCGGAGCTGGTGGGGTAGGGACAGCCAAACACAGCAAAGTGTCGCAGAAAGCGCTGGCTGATGGCGGGTACATTGGCCGTCGTATGTGGGTTGATGGTGCTGACATATGTCACATTCTTGACATAGCGCCAAGCGTGTGAATCCTGGTTGTAAAAGCCTCCGTCGTCGATGTGTTCCCTGACCAACTCTATAGCAGTCTGGTGGCCGTACTTGTCAACCTGCAACATGTTACAGTATATTGTAGCCCATCTACTTAACAGATGGTTGAAATATAACAACAACAATAATAACAACGTCAGGTCCAGGGACTAAAAACAATTTTATGTAGGTAGGCATTGAAATTAATATTCTATTGTATTGATGTATGGTGTTTGAAATTGTTTTATTGTTTTACTGTAAAGCACTAAATGTGTCCTGTTTTATCATTTGTGTTATTTCTTACTTTGAAGCAAAAAAGTTTGAAACTAGTGAAGAAAATGGCAATATTCTATTTATATCATCTTCAGAAGGAATAGAAACATCAGCAGTGATGTTGACATACATACCTGGGATAGGTTGATGTCATCAACCAGACATAGGAGGCGCTTGTTGCCCTTGGGGACATATGTGCGGCCATGTTTCCATTCAAGCCGTCCGTCCAGACGGTCATACAACAGACGGGCATTGGTGAACCTGGAAATGAAATTGCACCAATATCTTATACATTACAGTTTGGGCTCTACTTCTCAATACCAAGGGGGACAGTATCCTTTTTAATACAGCATTTCGTGTTCTGGTCCCAAAGATGCTGCTAAGCAAATCTAGTTGAAACACAATCAACTGATCAAGAGGAGTAGGCTTTAAACAATTTAAAACCATTTTTTTTCCTTTGGGCATTGTCCCTCAGTTGCCAGGGGAGCTTCACCCTCCCTTTACACAATAACTGATTCCAAGGTTCTAAGGACCAAATAGGCTTCTAAAGTGAGTTTGGATCTTTTGTATGTGGACATAGTTATGAGCCTGTGATGGAGCCAAACCCCTTGGCCAAATTAATCCTGAAAGCGTGAGTATATTTGTCTCTTCATGCCTAGTGAACGCCCGTATTGTTAAAAAGAGGGGATCACAACTCTTTCCAAGTTATGAAACAGGTTTAAGGTCGATCCCGGTCTCATGAATCTGTTATGGGTTTTTTCATGTCTTTAATTGTATATTAGGCTGGATCTGCAATTATCATGATTCAGGAACTAAGTCACTATTTCTGGGACCAGGCTACAGGTGCCAATGCTGGTAGCATGATTGTGTTTGTATGGGTATGGAGTGGTAGCTCAACTTTTCATGTAATGATCCCTGGGGGTGAGGACAAACTTTGGATCAGATCCTAGTAGCATTGTTGTATCTATTTCTTAATGCCAAGCAAAACTTCAAGAAGTTTCAGGTAGGGGTTCTTGGTCATTGCCAAGATATGATGCAGGGATTAAGTGTCCTGGGCAGTGCTGACTCCAAGGTCAATCCTTGGAGCATGAATGTATCAACATGTATTTCCTCTATTGGGCTCTACCCCTCTGCTCCCCAGTTTATACCATATGTTGAGATTCCTTGGCCTAACAATGGCTTGGTCAAAATCCACTGACCCATTTAAGACTAGTAGCATTTGAAATGAAAAAGTTGATGGAACACCATGGCATAGGCTCACCTGTCCTTCAGACCCGGTTAGCTAAATTCTCTGTTAACACTATGTAACATGTTGTAGCTGGTCGATGAACCACTAATTTTTCTAACCTCTAATCTATTAATCTTTTACAAACAGACTTATGTTACCGACCTCCCTTCCCTTCCATTCTCAATGTTGTAAACTTGTATAAACATGGTATAATTTAGACATTTTTAAGCTCAGCATATTTAATTACTCACACACATATAACCTCCCACATCATTTACCTGTTAGCCTGTACTGTAAGAGAGAGGACCTCAGCGACCTCTCCTGAACAAACTGTGCGAATCCTCTCATTGATGATGGCTGTCTTACCACAGCCATTCTCACCCACCAACACCACAGGTTTACCGTAGTCAGACAGCGTACCCAACAGGTACATCAGTTGCTGAAAAACATTGTTGTAAACATATCGTGAGAAAACTTTAAACAACAAATAAGCGACGCAAGGTGACATCATTGTTAACATAGTGACATTATTGTTAACAAACATTTACATCAAACTATAAAACTCTATTGGTACTGTGTGTACAAAGGTCTACTATAGAACTCACCTCTATTGCACTGTGTGTACAAAGGACTACCATAGAACTCATCTCTATTAGTACTGTGGGTACAAAGGCCTACCATAGAACTCACCGCAATTGGTACTGTGTGTAAAAAGGTTTACCATAGAACTCACCTCTACTGGTACTGTGTGTACAAGGGCTACCATAAAAATCACCTCTATTGGTACTGTGTGTACAAAGGTCTACCATAGAACTCATCTCTATTAGTACTGTGTGTACAAAGGCCTACCATAAAACTCACCTCTATTGGTACTGTGTGTACAAAGGTCTACCATAGAACTCTCCTCAATTGGTACTGTGTGTACAAGGTCTACCATAAAACTCACATCTATTGGTACTGTGTGTACAAAGGCCTACCATAGAACTCACCTCTATTGGTACTGTGTGTACAAAGGCCTCTGAAGAGATACCGGAGTGAGGGTCACCACTGTAGTTAGTAATACTGTCACACCAGCGTGTAAACTCATGGCTCTCACTGTCCACATAGTAGTCAAACACCTACAGCAGTAAATAGGTTGTAATAATGGTATAAGTCTAAAAGTAACCAAAACATTTTAACGATTTTCTTTAAAGATTAAGTTAATCCCAATGCACAATGAAAATACAACATTTTACTGCATCAGGTTCTTTGAATCATGGGGTGAAATGGTTGTGTTTGATAATATATAAAGTTTCATACAAAATGATACATCAGTGTGTAAAGAAGATCAATCAAACAAGGAATGTACTGACGGAGTAGTGTACTAGTTGTGTGTCTGTAGTGTGTGGGTGATATGTATGTAGTGTGTGGGTGATATGTATGTAGTGTGTGGGTGATATGTCTGTAGTGTGTGGGTGATATGTCTGTAGTGTGTGGGTGATATGTCTGTAGTGTGTGGTTGATATGTATGTAGTGTACTAGTTGTATGTCTGTAGTGTGTGGGTGATATGTCTGTAGTGTGTGGGTGATATGTATGTAGTGTACTGGTTGTGTGTCTGTAGTGTGTGGGTGATATGTCTGTAGTGTGTGGGTGATATGTCTGTAGTGTGTGGGTGATATGTCTGTAGTGTGTGGGTGATATGTCTGTAGTGTGTGGGTGATATGTCTGTAGTGTGTGGGTGATATGTCTGTAGTGTGTGGGTGATATGTCTGTAGTGTGTGGGTGATATGTCTGTAGTGTGTGGGTGATATGTCTGTAGTGTGTGGGTGATATGTCTGTAGTGTGTGGGTGATATGTCTGTAGTGTGTGGGTGATATGTCTGTAGTGTGTGGGTGATATGTCTGTAGTGTGTGGGTGATATGTCTGTAGTGTGTGGGTGATATGTCTGTAGTGTGTGGGTGATATGTCTGTAGTGTGTGGGTGATATGTCTGTAGTGTGTGGGTGATATGTCTGTAGTGTGTGGGTGATATGTCTGTAGTGTGTGGGTGATATGTCTGTAGTGTGTGGGTGATATGTCTGTAGTGTGTGGGTGATATGTCTGTAGTGTGTGGGTGATATGTCTGTAGTGTGTGGGTGATATGTCTGTAGTGTGTGGGTGATATGTCTGTAGTGTGTGGGTGATATGTCTGTAGTGTGTGGGTGATATGTCTGTAGTGTGTGGGTGATATGTCTGTAGTGTGTGGGTGATATGTCTGTAGTGTGTGGGTGATATGTCTGTAGTGTGTGGGTGATATGTATGTAGTGTACTGGTTGTGTGTCTGTAGTGTGTGGGTGATATGTCTGTAGTGTGTGGGTGATATGTCTGTAGTGTGTGGGTGATATGTCTGTAGTGTGTGGGTGATATGTCTGTAGTGTGTGGGTGATATGTCTGTAGTGTGTGGGTGATATGTCTGTAGTGTGTGGGTGATATGTCTGTAGTGTGTGGGTGATATGTCTGTAGTGTGTGGGTGATATGTCTGTAGTGTGTGGGTGATATGTCTGTAGTGTGTGGGTGATATGTCTGTAGTGTGTGGGTGATATGTCTGTAGTGTGTGGGTGATATGTCTGTAGTGTGTGGGTGATATGTCTGTAGTGTGTGGGTGATATGTCTGTAGTGTGTGGGTGATATGTCTGTAGTGTGTGGGTGATATGTCTGTAGTGTGTGGGTGATATGTCTGTAGTGTGTGGGTGATATGTCTGTAGTGTGTGGGTGATATGTCTGTAGTGTGTGGGTGATATGTCTGTAGTGTGTGGGTGATATGTCTGTAGTGTGTGGGTGATATGTTTGTAGTGTGTGGGTGATATGTCTGTAGTGTGTGGGTGATATGTCTGTAGTGTGTGGGTGATATGTCTGTAGTGTGTGGGTGATATGTCTGTAGTGTGTGGGTGATATGTCTGTAGTGTGTGGGTGATATGTCTGTAGTGTGTGGGTGATATGTCTGTAGTGTGTGGGTGATATGTCTGTAGTGTGTGGGTGATATGTCTGTAGTGTGTGGGTGATATGTCTGTAGTGTGTGGGTGATATGTCTGTAGTGTGTGGGTGATATGTCTGTAGTGTGTGGGTGATATGTCTGTAGTGTGTGGGTGATATGTCTGTAGTGTGTGGGTGATATGTCTGTAGTGTGTGGGTGATATGTCTGTAGTGTGTGGGTGATATGTCTGTAGTGTGTGGGTGATATGTCTGTAGTGTGTGGGTGATGTGTCTGTAGTGTGTGGGTGATATGTCTGTAGTGTGTGGGTGATATGTCTGTAGTGTGTGGGTGATATGTCTGTAGTGTGTGGGTGATATGTCTGTAGTGTGTGGGTGATATGTCTGTAGTGTGTGGGTGATATGTCTGTAGTGTGTGGGTGATATGTCTGTAGTGTGTGGGTGATATGTCTGTAGTGTGTGGGTGATATGTCTGTAGTGTGTGGGTGATATGTCTGTAGTGTGTGGGTGATATGTCTGTAGTGTGTGGGTGATATGTCTGTAGTGTGTGGGTGATATGTCTGTAGTGTGTGGGTGATATGTCTGTAGTGTGTGGGTGATATGTCTGTAGTGTGTGGGTGATATGTCTGTAGTGTGTGGGTGATATGTCTGTAGTGTGTGGGTGATATGTCTGTAGTGTGTGGGTGATATGTCTGTAGTGTGTGGGTGATATGTCTGTAGTGTGTGGGTGATATGTCTGTAGTGTGTGGGTGATATGTCTGTAGTGTGTGGGTGATATGTCTGTAGTGTGTGGGTGATATGTCTGTAGTGTGTGGGTGATATGTCTGTAGTGTGTGGGTGATATGTCTGTAGTGTGTGGGTGATATGTCTGTAGTGTGTGGGTGATATGTCTGTAGTGTGTGGGTGATATGTCTGTAGTGTGTGGGTGATATGTCTGTAGTGTGTGGGTGATATGTCTGTAGTGTGTGGGTGATATGTCTGTAGTGTGTGGGTGATATGTCTGTAGTGTGTGGGTGATATGTCTGTAGTGTGTGGGTGATATGTCTGTAGTGTGTGGGTGATATGTCTGTAGTGTGTGGGTGATATGTCTGTAGTGTGTGGGTGATATGTCTGTAGTGTGTGGGTGATATGTCTGTAGTGTGTGGGTGATATGTCTGTAGTGTGTGGGTGATATGTCTGTAGTGTGTGGGTGATATGTCTGTAGTGTGTGGGTGATATGTCTGTAGTGTGTGGGTGATATGTCTGTAGTGTGTGGGTGATATGTCTGTAGTGTGTGGGTGATATGTCTGTAGTGTGTGGGTGATATGTCTGTAGTGTGTGGGTGATATGTCTGTAGTGTGTGGGTGATATGTCTGTAGTGTGTGGGTGATATGTCTGTAGTGTGTGGGTGATATGTCTGTAGTGTGTGGGTGATATGTCTGTAGTGTGTGGGTGATATGTCTGTAGTGTGTGGGTGATATGTCTGTAGTGTGTGGGTGATATGTCTGTAGTGTGTGGGTGATATGTCTGTAGTGTGTGGGTGATATGTCTGTAGTGTGTGGGTGATATGTCTGTAGTGTGTGGGTGATATGTCTGTAGTGTGTGGGTGATATGTCTGTAGTGTGTGGGTGATATGTCTGTAGTGTGTGGGTGATATGTCTGTAGTGTGTGGGTGATATGTCTGTAGTGTGTGGGTGATATGTCTGTAGTGTGTGGGTGATATGTCTGTAGTGTGTGGGTGATATGTCTGTAGTGTGTGGGTGATATGTCTGTAGTGTGTGGGTGATATGTCTGTAGTGTGTGGGTGATATGTCTGTAGTGTGTGGGTGATATGTCTGTAGTGTGTGGGTGATATGTCTGTAGTGTGTGGGTGATATGTCTGTAGTGTGTGGGTGATATGTCTGTAGTGTGTGGGTGATATGTCTGTAGTGTGTGGGTGATATGTCTGTAGTGTGTGGGTGATATGTCTGTAGTGTGTGGGTGATATGTCTGTAGTGTGTGGGTGATATGTCTGTAGTGTGTGGGTGATATGTCTGTAGTGTGTGGGTGATATGTCTGTAGTGTGTGGGTGATATGTATGTAGTGTGTGGGTGATATGTATGTAGTGTACTGGTTGTGTGTCTGTAGTGTGTGGGTGATATGTATGTAGTGTGTGGGTGATATGTATGTAGTGTACTGGTTGTGTGTCTGTAGTGTGTGGGTGATATGTATGTAGTGTACTGTGCCCTCTTCTTAGTGTGTTGAATGTGTGATAGCTCACCGTGCCCTCCCCTGAGTGCATTGTATGTGTGATGACTCACCTTGCCCTCCCCTGAGTGTTGAATGTGTGATGGCTCACTGTGCCCCTTCCCTGAGTGTGTTGAATGTGTGATGACTCACTGTGCCCTCCCCTGAGTGTGTTGAATGTGTGATGACTCACTGTGCCCTCCCCTGAGTGTATTGTATGTGTGATAACTCACCTTGCCCTCCCCTGAGTGTGTTGTATGTGTGATAACTCACCTTGCCCTCCCATGAGTGTGTTGTATGTGTGATAACTCACCTTGCCCTCCCCTGAGTGTGTTGAATGTGTTATGAATCACCTTGCCCTCCCTTGAGTGTGTTGAATGAGAATGTGTTATGACTCACTGTACCCTTCCCTGAATGTTGAAGGTGTGATGACTCACTGTGCCCTTCCCTGAGTGTTGAATGTGTGATGACTCACTGTACCCTCCCCTGAGTTTTGAATGTGTGATGACTCACTGTACCCTCCCATGAGTGTTGAATGTGTGATGACTCAGTGTACCCTCCCCTGAGTGTTGAATGAGTGATGACTCACTGTACCCTCCCATGAGTGTTGAATGTGTGATGACTCAGTGTACCCTCCCCTGAGTGTTGAATGAGTGATGACTCACTGTACCCTCCCCTGGGTGTTGAATGTGTGTTGACTCACTGTCCCCTCCCCTGAGTGTTGAATGTGTGTTGACTCACTGTACCCTCCCCTGAGTGTCGAATGTGTGATGACTCACTGTACCCTCCCCTGGGTGTTGAATGTGTGTTGACTCACTGTACCCTCCCCTGAGTGTCGAATGTGTGATGACTCACTGTACCCTTCCCTGAGTGTTAAATGTGTGTTGACTCACTGAACCCTCCCCTGAGTGTTGAATGTGTGTTGACTCACTGTCCCCTCCCCTGAGTGTTGAATGTGTGTTGGCTCACTGTACCCTCCCCTGAGTGTTAAATGTGTGTTGACTCACTGCACCCTCCCCTGAGTGTTGAATGTGTGATGACTCACTGTACCCTTCCCTGAGTGTTAAATGTGTGTTGACTCACTGTACCCTCCCCTGAGTGTTGAATGTGTGATGACTCACTGTACCCTGCCCTGAGTGTTAAATGTGCGTTGACTCACTGTACCCTTTACTGAGTGTTGAAGGGGTGATGACTCACTGTGCCCTCCCCTGAGTGTCGAATGTGTGATGACTCACGCTACCCTCCCCTGAGTGTTGAATGTGTGATGACTCACTGTACCCTTCACTGAGTGTTGAAGGTGTGATGACTCACTGTGCCCTTCCCTGAGTGTTGAATGTGTGATGACTCACTGTACTCTCCCCTGAGTGTTGAATGTGTGATGACTCACTGTACCCTCCCCTGAGTGTTGAATGTGTGATGACTCACCTTGCTCTCTCCTTAGTATGTTGAATATGTGATGACTCAATGTGCCTCCCCTGAGTGTATTATATGAAAAGTGACTCACTGTGCCCTCCCCTGATTGTGTTATATGTGAAGTGACTCACCATGCCCTCTCCTTAGTATGTTTAATATGTGAAGTGACTCACCGTGCCCTCTCCTTAGTATGTTGAATATGTGATGACTCAATGTGCCTCCCCTGAGTGTATTATATGAAAAGTGACTCACTGTGCCCTCTCCTTAGTATGTTTAATATGTGAAGTGACTCACCGTACCTCTCCTTAGTAAGTTTAATATGTGAAGTGACTCACCGTGCCCTTGCCTGGGTACTCTATGTACTGATTGTGTGTATGTAGGATGTGGGGTGGTGCGTGGTGGGTGTGTCGGTGGAATGTGAAATGACTCACCGTGCCCTCTTCTGGGTACTCTATGTGCTGGTTGAACTCCACTTTCCACCACTGACTGAAGTTCTCCCTGTATTCTATCTCCAATGTTCCAGCAAATGCCCAGATGATTGCAAAGTTGAAGTAACGCTCATACTCAAGATCACTGAGGTCAGGATTGGAGTGGACAAGAGCCTAAAACATAATAATTCATAGAAGAGAACTGTAAAAGCAACAGGACGAGTGGAGTAGACTTGCGGGAATAGGCTTAGGTTATGTTGTGAGAGTAACAGCAGCTTTATAGAAGTGTTACAGGAGAAAGAGAAATGCATGGCCAGACCAGGATTCAAACCCAGGACCCTTCCAACTCTAAGACTGACACTCTACCAATTGAGCTACCTGGTCGCAGGCGATTGACCATTTTCGCTACATTACTCCATATTTTCCCCAGGTTTAGCCTCTGTAAATAGACTCTTTACAGACCAGGTTTGGGTCAAGCATTCACCTAGTACTGAAACAGGGGTTGGTCACAGGCATCATTGTAACAGGAGAAAGAAGAAAGCATAGCCAGACTAGGATTCAAACCACAGATCCTCTTAACTACAGACCTTCCAAAATTTTGAAGTTTGATCTACAAATTGATCCACCTCAGGTTGGTCACTGGCAAAAGTCCCAGTCCAGCTCTGCTACACAAGCAAGGAACTATTATCTGGATTGTTAGAACTCATGAAATTAATTACAGATATTCTTTAATTGATGTTTATGAGATAATCTCTTAAGCAAAATAACATCCTACATTGTTGTCTATACTGACCTCGAGCAGTGTACAGAATGTGGAGATCATGTTCTCTGTGGAGTGTGGTATCACACGTTTATACTGGGGCCCGCAACGCTTCGCTCCCCCCAGCATGTGAGGTTGGCAGCACTCTGTCAGGTAGTCAACTGTCTTCTGAATGTAAACGTCACAGAAGTCTGACAGCAACTCACGGTCAGCCTCTGGCCGTCGCTCCAGCCACTGGACCAGCAGCAGCTTCCAGCCAACATCTAGCACAGACATGTTGAGGATGGCAACATTAGCCAGCAGAGCCGGGCTCATGTTCCCCACCGTCTCCAACTGTAGACACAACACAATGTTAGTGTAAAACCTCACTGTACTCACAGAAAACTTGTGTTAGACCATGTAAATTATTTATAGTTACCTTGGGGTAGACATTGATGACATTATTGCGTGTCTACATCAGACTGAATGTGCAAAATGAAATGAAACAAACAGTACTAGTGGAAAAAAGCCTCAGAGAATGAACATTTTTGAAAGCAATATGAAACACTCCTAATATTATCATCTAAATCCAATATAATAACAAAGTAGTATAAGAGAGTATTTTATCTGCGTATTTATGTTTTATGATTCACTGTTAGAGAAATGTTTTTCTCTTACCCTGGACAAATGTATCCACTCTTTTACCAATGTGAGATCCCCTTGTCTCACCCTAGGGTTGAGACAGGGGAATTCCCTTATTCATGACAATGGTATGACGTCACATCAACAATACAATGAAGTCACATCAACAATCCATCAATGTCACGCCAACCCTGAATTAAGCATGTAACGTTATCATTACATTGTGTATATGATACACAATGGTAAAACAGGGTAAGAGAAAACAATCACTCACGCCTTGTTGGGGAAACAGGGGAATCTCAACCCTCGGGGAAAGATTCTTAAGTTGCGGAGAAGATTCTTAAGTTGCCAAACTCTCGGCAAAGCCTCGTGTTTGGCAAATTAAGAATCTCCCCCCTCAGGTTGAGATTCCCCTATCTCACCCGCAAGAGGGTGAAAGATTCTGTTATTCCATACCTCCCAGAAGAAACGTGTTGTGTCTGGAATGACCATTCTTTCATTGTTGCCAAGGACAACAGATCCATCATTGTTGAGAAAAGCGCTTAGTAACTCCATCTGTCCTACGTCAGCCTGACAGAGAAAACAACAGGTATAATAATCATCTGTCCTATGTCAGCTTGACAGAGAAAACAACGGGGATAATAATCATCTGTCCTACGTCACCCTGACAGAGAAAACAACATGTATAATAATCATCTGTCCTATGTCAGCTTGACAGAGAAAACAACGGGAATAATAATCATCTGTGCTATGTTAGCCTGACAGAGAAAACATCGGGTTTATAATAATCATCAGTCCCATGTTAGCCTGACAGAGAAAACAAAAGGTATAATAATCATCTGTTCTATGTCAGCCTGACAGAGAAAAAAACAGGTATAATAATCATCGGTCCTAGGCCACCCTGACAGAGAAACCACCGGGTTTATAATCATCTGTCCTATGTCAGCTTGACAGAGAAAACAACGGGGATAATAATCATCTGTCCTATGTCAGCTTGACAGAGAAAACAACGGGTATAAAAATCATCTCCTGACAGAGAAAACAACCGGTATAATAATCATCTGTCCTATGTCCTCCTGACAGAGAAAACAACGGGCATAATAATCATCTGTCCTACGTCAGCCTGACAGAGAAAACATCGGGTTTATAATAATCATCTGTCCTTCGTCAGCCTGACAGAGAAAAAAACAGGTATAATAATCATCGGTCCTAGGCCACCCTGACAGAGAAACCACCGGGTTTATAATCATCTGTCCTATGTCATCCCGACAGAGAAAACAACAGGTATAATAACCATCTGTCCTACGTCAGCCTGACAGCGAAAACAACAGGTATAATAACCATCTGTCCTACGTCAGCCTGACAGAGTAAACAACAGGTATAATAATCAGCTGTCCTACGTCAGCCTGACAGCGAAAACAAAAGGTATAATAATCATATGTCCTATGTCAGCCTGGCAGAGAAAACCACGGGTATAAAAATCATCTGTCCTACGTCAGCCTGCCAGAGAAAACAACAGGTATAATAATCAGCTGTCCTACGTCAGCCTGACAGAGAAACCAACGGGTATAATAATCATCGGTCCTAGGCCACCCTGACAGAGAAACCACCGGGTTTATAATCATCTGTCCTATGTCCGCCTGACAGAGAAAACAACATGTATAATAATCATCTGTCCTGTGTCAGCCTGACACAGAAAGCGACGGGTATAATAATCATCTGTCCGATGTCAGCCTGACAGAGAAAAAAACAGGTATAATAATCATCGGTCCTAGGCCACCCTGACAGAGAAACCACCGGGTTTATAATCATCTGTCCTATGTTACTCTGCCAGAGAAAACAACGGGAATAATAATCATCTGTCCTACGTCAGCCTGCCAGAGAAAACAACAGGTATAATAACCATCTGTCCTACGTCAGCCTGCCAGAGAAAACAACAGGAATAATAATCATCTGTCCTATTTCCATACCTCCCAGAAGAAACGTGTTGTGTCTGGAATGACCATTCTTTCATTGTTGCCAAGGACAACAGATCCATCATTGTTGAGAAAAGCGCTTAGTAACTCCATCTGTCCTACGTCATCCTGACATAGAAAACAACGGGTATAATTATCAGCTGTCCGATGTCGGCTTGACAGAGAAATTAACGGGTATAATAATCATCGGTCCTAGGCCACCCTGACAGAGAAACCACCGGGTTTATAATCATCTGTCCTATGTTACTCTGCCAGAGAAAACAACGGGAATAATAATCATCTGTCCTACGTAAGCCTGACAGAGAAAACAACCGGTATAATAATCATCTGTCCTATGTTAGCCTGACAGAGAAAACAAAAGGTATAATAATCATCTGTCCTATGTCAGCCTGACAGAGAAAACCACGGGTATAAAAATCATCTGTCCTATGTTAGCCTGACAGAGAAAACAACGGGTATAATAATCATCTGTCCTATGTCAGCCTGACAGAGAAAACAACGGGTATAATAATCATCTGTCCTATGTTAGCCTGACAGAGAAAACAACGGGTATAATAATCATCTGTCCTATGTTAGCCTGACAGAGAAAACAACGGGAATAATAATCATCTGTCCTATGTTAGCCTGACAGAGAAAACAACGAGTATAAAAATCATCTGTCCTACGTCAGCCTGACAGTGAAAACAACAGGTATAATAATCATCTGTCCTATGTCAGCCTGACAGAGAAAACAACGGGTATAATAATCATCTGTCCTATGTCAGCCTGACAGAGAAAACAACGGGTATAATAATCATCTGTCCTATGTTAGCCTGACAGAGAAAACAACGGGTATAATAATCATCTGTCCTATGTTAGCCTGACAGAGAAAACAACGGGTATAATAATCATCTGTCCTATGTTAGCCTGACAGAGAAAACAACGGGTATAATAATCATCTGTCCTATGTCAGCCTGACAGAGAAAACAACGGGTATAATAATCATCTGTCCTATGTCAGCCTGACAGAGAAAACAACGGGTATAATAATCATCTGTCCTATGTCAGCCTGACAGAGAAAACAACGGGTATAATAATCATCTGTCCTATGTCAGCCTGACAGAGAAAACAACGGGTATAATAATCATCTGTCCTATGTCAGCCTGACAGAGAAAACAACGGGTATAATAATCATCTGTCCTATGTCAGCCTGACAGAGAAAACAACGGGTATAATAATCATCTGTCCTATGTCAGCCTGACAGAGAAAACAACGGGTATAATAATCATCTGTCCTATGTTAGCCTGACAGAGAAAACAACGGGTTTATAATAATCATCTGTCCCATGTTAGCCTGACAGAGAAAACAACAGGTATAATAATCATCTGTCCTATGTCAGCCTGACAGAGAAAACCACGGGTATAAAAATCATCTGTCCTATGTTAGCCTGACAGAGAAAACAACGGGTTTATAATAATCATCTGTCCCATGTTAGCCTGACAGAGAAAACAACAGGTATAATAATCATCTGTCCTATGGCAGCCTGACAGAGAAAACGACGGGTATAATAATCATCTGTCCTATGTCAGGCGGATAGAAAACTTTAATGACTTGTCTGAGTACAATCAACATTTTAAACAAACATTTAATATTTCCCTTAATTGTTTTCTTTTCATTATTTCTTTCATATAATGATATAGAATATCTTAATCCATATTACAGAATAATGTTGCTTTTCGTTTTAAAATGATGGCTTTATCACTGGTTAAATGCAAATATCAAGTCTGGTCTGATTTGTTGAGGGCTGTGTAAAAGGTGTGTTTTCTTTATGTCATACCTCTCCGTCCAGCTGGACAATTTTCATGGAAGGTTTACTGTTGAAATCATAGTTCATATTTGGGGGCTGGATGCAGAGCTTCCTTAAGAGGGAGGCAAACAGACCATCCTTCCATTCTCTGTAACAGAAACATAGTGTCATCAGACCATCCTTATACTCTGTAACAGAAACATAGTGTCATCAGACCATCCTTATACTCTCTGTAACAGAAACATAGTGTCATCAGACCATCCTTATACTCTCTGTAACAGAAACATAGTGTCATCAGACCATCCTTATACTCTCTGTAACAGAAACATAGTGTCATCAGACCATCCTTATACTCTCTGTAACAGAAACATAGTGTCATCAGACCATCCTTATACTCTCTGTAACAGAAACATAGTGTCATCAGACCATCCTTATACTCTCTGTAACAGAAACATAGTGTCATCAGACCATCCTTATACTCTCTGTAACAGAAACATAGTGTCATCAGACCATCCTTATACTCTCTGTAACAGAAACATAGTGTCATCAGACCATCCTTATACTCTCTGTAACAGAAACATAGTGTCATCAGACCATCCTTATACTCTCTGTAACAGAAACATAGTGTCATCAGACCATCCTTATACTCTCTGTAACAGAAACATAGTGTCATCAGACCATCCTTATACTCTCTGTAACAGAAACATAGTGTCATCAGACCATCCTTATACTCTCTGTAACAGAAACATAGTGTCATCAGACCATCCTTATACTCTCTGTAACAGAAACATAGTGTCATCAGACCATCCTTATACTCTCTGTAACAGAAACATAGTGTCATCAGACCATCCTTATACTCTCTGTAACAGAAACATAGTGTCATCAGACCATCCTTATACTCTCTGTAACAGAAACATAGTGTCATCAGACCATCCTTATACTCTCTGTAACAGAAACATAGTGTCATCAGACCATCCTTATACTCTCTGTAACAGAAACATAGTGTCATCAGACCATCCTTATACTCTCTGTAACAGAAACATAGTGTCATCAGACCATCCTTATACTCTCTGTAACAGAAACATAGTGTCATCAGACCATCCTTATACTCTCTGTAACAGAAACATAGTGTCATCAGACCATCCTTATACTCTCTGTAACAGAAACATAGTGTCATCAGACCATCCTTATACTCTCTGTAACAGAAACATAGTGTCATCAGACCATCCTTATACTCTCTGTAACAGAAACATAGTGTCATCAGACCATCCTTATACTCTCTGTAACAGAAACATAGTGTCATCAGACCATCCTTATACTCTCTGTAACAGAAACATAGTGTCATCAGACCATCCTTATACTCTCTGTAACAGAAACATAGTGTCATCAGACCATCCTTATACTCTCTGTAACAGAAACATAGTGTCATCAGACCATCCTTATACTCTCTGTAACAGAAACATAGTGTCATCAGACCATCCTTATACTCTCTGTAACAGAAACATAGTGTCATCAGACCATCCTTATACTCTCTGTAACAGAAACATAGTGTCATCAGACCATCCTTATACTCTCTGTAACAGAAACATAGTGTCATCAGACCATCCTTATACTCTCTGTAACAGAAACATAGTGTCATCAGACCATCCTTATACTCTCTGTAACAGAAACATAGTGTCATCAGACCATCCTTATACTCTCTGTAACAGAAACATAGTGTCATCAGACCATCCTTATACTCTCTGTAACAGAAACATAGTGTCATCAGACCATCCTTATACTCTCTGTAACAGAAACATAGTGTCATCAGACCATCCTTATACTCTCTGTAACAGAAACATAGTGTCATCAGACCATCCTTATACTCTCTGTAACAGAAACATAGTGTCATCAGACCATCCTTATACTCTCTGTAACAGAAACATAGTGTCATCAGACCATCCTTATACTCTCTGTAACAGAAACATAGTGTCATCAGACCATCCTTATACTCTCTGTAACAGAAACATAGTGTCATCAGACCATCCTTATACTCTCTGTAACAGAAACATAGTGTCATCAGACCATCCTTATACTCTCTGTAACAGAAACATAGTGTCATCAGACCATCCTTATACTCTCTGTAACAGAAACATAGTGTCATCAGACCATCCTTATACTCTCTGTAACAGAAACATAGTGTCATCAGACCATCCTTATACTCTCTGTAACAGAAACATAGTGTCATCAGACCATCCTTATACTCTCTGTAACAGAAACATAGTGTCATCAGACCATCCTTATACTCTCTGTAACAGAAACATAGTGTCATCAGACCATCCTTATACTCTCTGTAACAGAAACATAGTGTCATCAGACCATCCTTATACTCTCTGTAACAGAAACATAGTGTCATCAGACCATCCTTATACTCTCTGTAACAGAAACATAGTGTCATCAGACCATCCTTATACTCTCTGTAACAGAAACATAGTGTCATCAGACCATCCTTATACTCTGTAACAGAAACATAGTGTCATCAGACCATCCTTATACTCCCACCCATCAGTTCCTCAGACTTGACTGTTTTGTTGTAGTTCTCAATACTTACTTTGTCTTTGGGTCTCACCCATCAGTTCCTCAGACTCGACTATTTTGTTGTAGTCCTCAATACTTACTTTGATTTTGGGTCCCAGTACCCCATCAGTTCCTCAGACTCGACTGCTTTGGTAAACATCGTGTGTACACTGATGGTCTTGCCTCGTTCTCGTTCCGCCACCGCAAAAGTCTTTATACACTCACTTTTACCACAGCCGGGGGGCCCAACCACAAATATCTACAAACAGACACATCTTGTGTTAATAAACTTAATACACTTCAATGTAACAGTTAGCCAAAATGTTGTTTCATAAACTAGAACATAATTTTATAGTATTATAATACTGAAGTCTTGACTATTGATTGGTTTTAAATATAATTAAAAGATAGTGACAGATTAAATCAATCAGAAAGTGGAAACTGACATCCTTTCATAGAGACGGATACAAAACCTGTACGACTTTACTTCCATGGTACATTAGTTTTCAAACACAAACATTTTGACAATTTGGTCTATATGCTTGTTCTGCAGGCTGGATTGAGCTGACTTACAGCCTGGTGAGCTGCGTTGAGCTGAGCTAACTGAGCCACTCGTGATTGGAAGGCAACCCCTGGCAACAGTCCGAGTTCACTAGTAGCCACGGCAATAGCGTCATGCATGTCATCCAGGACCTGGTTTTGGTTGGGGTCACTGAGTGCTTGGAAGCGTTGTGCGGAGGCATGAGCCATGGTCACTACTGGAGTGTTTAGGTTGATAGAATCTGTAAACATTGAAAATTATACTTTATAGAAAGACTAAACATGTCCTCACTTACGGCATCAAACATGTCCTCACTAACGCCATCAAACATGTCCTCACTAACGACATCAAACATGTCCTCACTTACGGCATCAAACATGTCCTCACTAACGGCATCAAACATGTCCTCACTAACGGCATCAAACATGTCCTCACTAACGGCATCAAACATGTCCTCACTTACGGCATCAAACATGTCCTCACTAATGGCATCAAACATGTCCTCACTTAAGGCATCAAACATGTCCTCACTTACGGCATCAAACATGTCCTCACTAACGGCATCAAACATGTCCTCACTTACGGCATCAAACTTGTCCTCACTAATGGCATCAAACATGTCCTCACTAACGGCATCAAACATGTCCTCACTAACGGCATCAAACATGTATCTCAATTTTTGATGTATTAATGACTCTGTACTAAAACAACATCAGGATTCTGGACAAAGAATCAAATTTTAAGCTGTTTGTTATGGAACTATGCTTAAAACAACACAATTTTATCTGTTGATGTCTCTATAAAAATACAAAAATCTTAAAATACAAAACAGCAATTCTATTTCCTTTCAGTGATTGAAAACATTTATCCTCCAGAATTGACATCATGGGGAAAATATCTGAGACATTATAAAAACACATTATATTTTACTGTCATAAGAAACCCTACTCTACTATAATAGTAAGTGATTCAGATATTGCTGTTCATGCTATAGGCATAGGAGTGTCTACTGTAACTACACAACCTTCAAACTAACAGCTAATGTGCATTTCTACATCTGTCATATCAAATCTTGGTGTAATAGACATAAATATAACAGCAGCATGCTCAAGTGAAAAGGTACAAACAGGATTTACCGGACTGATACAGTCTCACAGGAAATCAGTTCTAACATGATTTACCAGACTGATACAGTCTCACAGGATATTAGTTCTAACATGATTTACCAGACTGATACTGTCTTACAGGAAATTAGTTCTAACAGAATTTACCAGACTGATACAGTCTCACAGGAAATTAGTTCTAACATGATTTACCAGACTGATACTGTCTTACAGGAAATTAGTTCTAAGAGAATTTACCAGACTGATACAGTCGCACAGGAAATTAGTTCTAACATGATTTACCAGACCGATACAGTCTCACAGGAAATTAGTTCCAACAGGATTTACAAGACTGATACTGTCTCACGGGATATTAGTTCTAACATGATTTACCAGACTGATACAGTCTCACAGGAAATAAGTTCTCACAGGATTTACCAGACTGATACAGTCTCACGGGAAATTAGTTCTAACATGATTTACCAGACTGATACAGTCGCACAGGAAATTAGTTCTAACATGGCTTACCAGACTGATACAGTCTCACGTGAAATTAGTTCTAACATGATTTACCAGACTGATACAGTATCACGGGAAATTAGTTCTAACATGATTTGCCAGACTGATACAGTCTCACAGGAAATAAGTTCTCACAGCATTTACCAGACTGATATAGTCTCACAGGAAATTAGTTCTAACTGGATTTACAAGACTGATACAGTGTCACGGGATATTAGTTTTAACATGATTTACCAGACTGATACAGTATCACGGGAAATTAGTTCTAACATGGTTAACCAGACTGCTCCAGTCTTACAGGAAATTAGTTCTAACATGATTTGCCAGACTGATACAGTCTCACAGGAAGTTAGTTCCAACAGGATTTACAAGACTCATACAGTCTCACAGGAAATTAGTACCAACAGGATTTACAAGACTGATACAGCCTCACAGGAAATTAGTTCTAACATTATTTACCAGACTGATACAGTCTCACAGGAAATTAGTTCTAACAGGATTTACAAGACTGATACAGTGTCACGGGATATTAGTTTTAACATGATTTACCAGACTGATACAGTCTCACAGGAAATTAGTTCTAACATGGTTTACCAGACTGATACAGTCTCACAGGAAATTAGTTCTAACATGATTTACCAGACTGATACAGTCTCACGGGATATTAGTTCTAACATGATTTACCGGACTAATACAGTCTCACGAGAAATAAGTTCTAACATGATTTACCAGACTGATACAGTCTCACGGGATATTAGTTCTAATAGGATTTACCGGAGTGATACAGTCTCACAGGAAATAAGTTCTAACATGATTTACCAGACTGATACAGTCTCACAGGAAATTAGTTCTTACATGATTTACCAGACTGATACAGTCTCACAGGAAATTAGTTCCAACATGATTTACCAGACTGATACAGTCTCACAGGAAATTAGTTCTAACATGATTTACCAGACTGATACAGTCTCACAGGAAATTAGTAATTAGTTCTATAGGCCACAGGCAAACTTCTGTCAGTAACAAATATTGAGGCACTCTATTTCTGACAGTTACATTGAGGCAGTCTACTTCTGTCAGTAACATTGAGTTAGTCTACTTCTGTCAGTAACAAATATTGAGTCAGTCTACTTCTGACAGTAACAAACATTGAGTTAGTCTACTTCTGTCAGTAACAAATATTGAGGCAGTCTATTTCTGAGAGTAACATTGAGTCAGTCAACCTCTGTCAGTAACAAACGTTGAGTCAGTCTACTTCTGTCAGTAACAAAAATTGGGTCAGACTGTTTCTGTCAGTAACAAACACTGAGTCAGCCTACTTCTGTCAGTTACAAACATTGAGTCAGACTGTCTCTGTCAGTAACATTGAGTCAGTCTACTTCTGTCAGTAACATTGAGTTAGTCTATTTCTGTCAGTAACAAACATTAAGTCAGTCTACCTCTGCCAGTAACAAACATTGAGTCAGTCTGTTTCTGTCAGTAACATTGAGTCAGTCTACTTCTGACAGTTACATTGAGTTAGTCTATTTCTGTCAGTAACAAACATTGAGTCAGTCTATTTCTGTCAGTAACAAACACTTAGTCAGTCTACTTCTGTCAGTAACAAACATTGAGTCAGCCTACTTCTGTCAGTTACAAACATTGAGTCAGACTGTTTCTGTCAGTTACATTGAGTCAGTCTACTTCTGACAGTAACATTGAGTCAGTCTACTTCTGTCAGTAACATTGAGTCAGTCTATTTCTGTCAGTAACATTGAGTCAGTCTATTTCTGTCATTAACAAACACTGAGTCAGCCTACTTCTGTCAGTTACAAACATTGAGTCAGACTGTTTCTGTCAGTAACATTGAGTCAGACTGTTTCTGTCAGTAACATTGAGTTAGTCCAATTCTGTCAGTTACATTGGGTCAGTCTATTTCTGTCAGTAACAACATTGGGTCATTCTACTTCTGTCAGTAACAAACACTGAGTCAGCCTACTTCCGACAGTAACATTGAGTCAGACTGTTTCTGTCAGTAACATTGAGTTAGTCCAATTCTGTCAGTAACATTGGGTCAGTCTACTTCTGTCAGTAACAACATTGAGTCAGTCTACTTCTGTCAGTAACAACATTGAGGCAGTCTACTTCTGTCAGTAACATTGAGTCAGTCTATTTCTGTCAGTAACATTGAGTCAGTCTATTTCTGTCATTAACAAACACTGAGTGTCAGTCTATTTCTGTCAGTTACAAACATTGAGTCAGACTTTTTCTGTCAGTAACATTGAGTTAGTCCAATTCTGTCAGTAACATTGGGTCAGTCTACTTCTGTCAGTAACAACATTGAGTCAGTCTACTCTTGTCAGTAACAAACACTGAGTCAGCCTACTTCTGTCAGTAACATTGGGTCAGTCTACTTGTCAGTAACAAACACTGAGTGTCAGTCTATTTCTGTCAGTAACATTGAGTTAGTCTACTTGTCAGTAACAAACACTGAGTGTCAGTCTATTTCTGTCAGTAACATTGGGTCGGTCTACTTGTCACTAACAAACACTGGGTCAGTCTATTTCTGTCAGTAAAAAGAAATTGGAATACTATACACTGAGTAAGTATGCTTTTATATTGTACAGTACAGACTAGCTGGCCTGGGATAGCCTATAAGAGTGTGGGGTGTAATTATATAGGAATTATAATGTACAGTACAGACTAGCTGGCCTGGGACAGCCTATAAGAGTGTGGGGTGTAATTATATAGGAATTAATATTGTACAGTACAGACTAGCTGGCCTGGGACAGCCTATATTAGAGTGTGGGTGTAATTTATCAACCAGTAATATATAGTGCAATAACTATCCTAAATATAGAGATACAGTCAAACTCAAAAACAATTAAGGAGTTTAACGGATTTTGTATATAAATGTTCAACATTTTTTGTCTCTGATTTCTTATACAAATAAAACAAGGCAATGATTTGCAAGGCAATCCATATTCCCCCACCAGTTATGATTTCAGGATATAGGTCACAGTGACATACGTCTTGTACTCCACACGCCAAGATAGACTTGCATCACAAATCTGGTTACTCCATGTGAAATAGGATAGAAAATATGCTCCAAACAAATGTTTTTAAAGGCTGTGGTCAAAGGTCAATCCAAAGGCCACAGTGATTTACTTTTTGAACAGGACACTCTGCCATCGGAAGATCTATTTGCTGGTTACTCCAGGTAAAAAAGTATGGAAATTATGCCCAAGACAAACTTTTTCAAGTAGGGAAATCGCGAGTTAAATTGTGATATATTTTTTGGGAGACATGCCGATTTTCATACAGTTTGGAAGAGAGATTTTTATTGATAGCACTTAGGTAGTGGCTGAGCATTCTCCGCCCTATCTGTTTTGGGCATTTAGTGAGGATTTCTATGAGTTGTAGGCTCCTCTAGCTGCTCACGTACAGGAATGTTGAGAAAACAGAAGGGTTCAACAGGTAAACTATTGAGTGGGAGTGATAGCCGTATGTTCTCGACTACGTGTCATCTTTATCTCTTTACTCTTTTTTTTACTGAATTTCCACTTGCCACCACGTGCTTTGTTAAGTTTGATACTGTAGACGTACAATAAACGGGTAAATCTATATCTGCCTAGACGTACAATAAACAGGTAAATCTATATCTGCCTAGACGTACAATAAACGGGTAAATCTATATCTGCCTAGACGTACAATAAACAGGTAAATCTATATCTGCCTAGACGTATAATAAACGGGTAAATCTATATCTGCCTAGACGTACAATAAACGGGTAAATCTATATCTGCCTAAGTTGGTTTTGTCATCAATCTCTGTTTCCTCTTTATTATCTCATTCTTCATTTAAAATCCATAAAGTCTGAAGCGAAAGCGGCAGTCGAACCTGAGTGAGTAGGTAACGTTCATTACACAAAACTATAGTCCCCTCACAAAGGAACCGGTGGGGGATATAGTCCCCTCACAAAGGAACCGGTGGGCGATATAGTCCCCTCACAAAGGAACCGGTGGGGGACTTATAAAATTGTGCAGGCATATCTTAAGGAACTTTTAAATCCAAACTTTGTAAGATTTAACATTTGTAAGAGAGTGAAACTGTACAACTATGAATTCTTCTAATCACACTCTCTTCATTTCTTTCTCAAGAGTTTTTCTATTGTGAATGAAATATCAGATAATTGTCACAATTCTTGCATCATCTGAATCTATTTTCTGTGTCATCAGTAAACATTATTTTAACAGTATGTGAACATGAACATGATTTCCTTATCATTATTATCATAAGTATTATTTCTTGACTTTTGGAACTTTTCAATAGACAAAAAACAAAATTGCAAGTTAGTGTTATTAAAAACAGAATTAAAAAAATTGGTTCATTCACAATATTAAAATCTGAGAAACCAAATAAATTGGGAGATTCGCGTATATATTGTCTGACTTTGTAACTACAAATAATCACAATACACATACCTAGCAGTTTAAATTCATAACAAAACCCTATAAGATGAAAAAGAACAAGTATAAATACATTTAGATAAAATAACAAATCACACTTATATCAACAATTCTGCAAAGAAAAATTAGTACCATATTTCAAAATGAAATCACGCTTTGTCACAAGAGACTAATAGGAAGCGACTAGACTGTGAGTAGAAAGATCTTACCATGATGGCAGCACTGTAACAAAGTCTCACTACTACAACGCGGCCATGATGGCAGCAGTGTAACACAGTCTCACTACTACAATGCCATGATGGCAGCAGTGTAACAAAGTCTCACTACTACAACGCCATGATGGCAGCAGTGTAACAAAGTCTCACTACTACAATGCCATGATGGCAGCAGTGTAACAAAGTCTCACTACTACATTGCCATGATGGCAGCAGTGTAACAAAGTCTCACTACTACAACGCCGCCATGACGGCAGCAGTGTAACAAAGTCTCACTACTACAGCGCCATGATGGCAGCAGTGTAACAAAGTCTCACTACTACAACGCCATGATGGCAGCAGTGTAACAAAGTCTCACTACTACAACGCCATGATGGCAGCAGTGTAACAAAGTCTCACTACTACAACGCCATGATGGCAGCAGTGTAACAAAGTCTCACTACTACAACGCCATGATGGCAGCAGTGTAACAAAGTCTCACTACTACAACGCCATGATGGCAGCAGTGTAACAAAGTCTCACTACTACAACGCCATGATGGCAGCAGTGTAACAAAGTCTCACTACTACAACGCCATGATGGCAGCAGTGTAACAAAGTCTCACTACTACAACGCCATGATGGCAGCAGTGTAACAAAGTCTCACTACTACAACGCCATGATGGCAGCAGTGTAACAAAGTCTCACTACTACAACGCCATGATGGCAGCAGTGTAACAAAGTCTCACTACTACAACGCCATGATGGCAGCAGTGTAACAAAGTCTCACTACTACAACGCCATGATGGCAGCAGTGTAACAAAGTCTCACTACTACAACGCCATGATGGCAGCAGTGTAACAAAGTCTCACTACTACAACGCCATGATGGCAGCAGTGTAACAAAGTCTCACTACTACAACGCCATAATGGCAGCAGTGTAACAAAGTCTCACTACTACAACGCCATGATGGCAGCAGTGTAACAAAGTCTCACTACTACAACACGGCCATGTTAGTAACTTACTTATTTTGATCATTTGATTGTTGATATGATTTCGATAAAAGGAAAACTAAGTCATTCAGAAAAGCCACCATTGTTTTTTGGGGCCTCTGATCTTACATCAATAAGCCACCATTTTTTGGGGGGGCCTCTGATCTTACATCAATAAGCCACCATTGTTTTTTGGGCATTTTATCTTACATCAATAAGCCACCATTGTTTTTTGGGGCCTCTGATCTTCCAACAATAAGCCACCATTGTTTTTGGGGCCTCTGAACTTACATCAATAAGCCACCATTATGTTTTGGGGCCTCTGATCTTACATCAATAAGCCACCATTTTTTGGGGGGGCCTCAGATCTTACATCAATAAGCCACCATTGTTTTTTGGGGCCTCTGATCTTACATCAATAAGCCACCATTGTTTTTTGGGCATTTGATCTTACATCAATAAGCCACCATTGTTTTTTGGGCCTCTGATCTTACATCAATAGGCCACCATTGTTTTTTGGGGCCTCTGATCTTACATCAATAAGCCACCATTGTTTTTTTGGGCCTCTGATCTTACATCAATAAGCCAAAAGTATTAAGATGAGTTTATCATGTAGTTGTTAAATGCTGAACATCTGACCTCGAATTTGACCTGAATGTGTCTGATACATTTATTTACTTTAAAACTTTTGTAGCTGATATAAAGTTTTAAATCACCGACACAGTAATGTAAAATGGGATCTATTCATCTCACCATCATTTACACTCCATTGTCATTTTTAACTCTGTCAGTAATATTTTTAGCAATTATTTTCATTTCTCTCACCCTGAACAAAAGAGTGAATACCAGACAAAGCCAAAAAAGTACTAAATATAAAGTTTCCAGTATTGTAAGTTTATGTAAATTAAACACCGAGCGAGTTTGTTATACATAAAATTTGACAGGCCACATTTTACCTTTGAGAGATCTCATAGAGTCCTGACTTTTGGCAGTCTTAGCCCGGGAGGATGTCCCTTTACCAGAACTGACACGAGACTGGGGTGGTTTAGGTAACATATCCTCCTCCCCACCAAACACCATGGGGATGTCGATGTTTGGCCAGGTGTCCACTACAAGTGTCCCAAAAACACTAGCATCTCGTCCCTTCATCCGAGGTAGGAATGTGTCTCTGATAGCCAGCACCAGAGACTTCTCCTCAAGCATGAGTTTCGCCTCAGAGATCACTTCATCACCTTTAAACACAAGTAAAAAACACCCAACTTCTGTAACATTAATACATCAGGGATAGTCAACTTATCAAAGTATCATCATCAGAGGTGTATACTATAACATTAGAACAGAATACAGCTGTCACATGTAGTATAGGTTTGTTACTGTATACACCTGTCACATGTAGTATAGGTTTGTTACAATATACACCTGTCACATGTAGTATAGGTTTGTTACAATATACACCTGTCACATGTAGTATAGGTTTGTTACAATATACACCTGTCACATGTAGTATAGGTTTGTTACAATATACACCTGTCACATGTAGTATAGGTTTGTTACAATATACACCTGTCACATGTAGTATAGGTTTGTTACAATATACACCTGTCACATGTAGTATAGGTTTGTTACAATATACACCTGTCACATGTAGTATAGGTTTGTTACAATATACACCTGTCACATGTAGTATAGGTTTGTTACAATATACACCTGTCACATGTAGTATAGGTTTGTTACAATATACACCTGTCACATGTAGTATAGGTTTGTTACAATATACACCTGTCACATGTAGTATAGGTTTGTTACAATATACACCTGTCACATGTAGTATAGGTTTGTTACAATATACACCTGTCACATGTAGTATAGGTTTGTTACAATATACACCTGTCACATGTAGTATAGGTTTGTTACAATATACACCTGTCACATGTAGTATAGGTTTGTTACAATATACACCTGTCACATGTAGTATAGGTTTGTTACAATATACACCTGTCACATGTAGTATAGGTTTGTTACAATATACACCTGTCACATGTAGTATAGGTTTGTTACAATATACACCTGTCACATGTAGTATAGGTTTGTTACAATATACACCTGTCACATGTAGTATAGGTTTGTTACAATATACACCTGTCACATGTAGTATAGGTTTGTTACAATATACACCTGTCACATGTAGTATAGGTTTGTTACAATATACACCTGTCACATGTAGTATAGGTTTGTTACAATATACACCTGTCACATGTAGTATAGGTTTGTTACAATATACACCTGTCACATGTAGTATAGGTTTGTTACAATATACACCTGTCACATGTAGTATAGGTTTGTTACAATATACACCTGTCACATGTAGTATAGGTTTGTTACAATATACACCTGTCACATGTAGTATAGGTTTGTTACAATATACACCTGTCACATGTAGTATAGGTTTGTTACAATATACACCTGTCACATGTAGTATAGGTTTGTTACAATATACACCTGTCACATGTAGTATAGGTTTGTTACAATATACACCTGTCACATGTAGTATAGGTTTGTTACAATATACACCTGTCACATGTAGTATAGGTTTGTTACAATATACACCTGTCACATGTAGTATAGGTTTGTTACAATATACACCTGTCACATGTAGTATAGGTTTGTTACAATATACACCTGTCACATGTAGTATAGGTTTGTTACAATATACACCTGTCACATGTAGTATAGGTTTGTTACAATATACACCTGTCACATGTAGTATAGGTTTGTTACAATATACACCTGTCACATGTAGTATAGGTTTGTTACAATATACACCTGTCACATGTAGTATAGGTTTGTTACAATATACACCTGTCACATGTAGTATAGGTTTGTTACAATATACACCTGTCACATGTAGTATAGTTTTGTCACAATATACACCTGTCACATGTAGTATAGGTTTGTTACAATATACACCTGTCACATGTAGTATAGGCTTGTTACAATATACACCTGAAGATATGTAAATGTAGGAAGTTAATTGAGATTTAATTAAACACAAAAATGGTCGTCCTAATAACAAAACAATGTGTACCTTTTTCAACATTTTCTTGGTCTTGTTTTTCAACTTGATCCTCTTTTTCTGAAACAATAACATCAATTAATTTCACTTAGTATTACCTAGCTATCTTACATATATATATACAAAGTAAGAAAGATGTCAAACTTGTAATAAATTTTGCAATATCCTTTTAATTATGAGTGTCATCAGTTCATTAATGAAAGGGAAGGCAAATGTGTTGTGGACGATGTCACTCACCCTGTTCGCTAGATTTCTCCATGTATGCGCCTGCCTCAGAAACTAGGCCCTTCAGGGTCTTCATACTCCAGCCCCCACGTCCATGGTTTACGTCTGAGCCTGTGGCACCAAAGGTGAAACCATCAGGTAATAACCAGATATCATGTGTCATATTTTCACAGATAAGAAATAACAGAAGAAATATTTGTATGAGGAACCTACATCATGCTATACCAATGATTATAAAAGAACATTGAAGGACAATAGTTTCTGTTGATGTGAGTGTAGATAAATACAGGACCAGATCAATGGCTGTGCATTTTTCTACTGTTACATTTGGTCCCTAACCAATAATGCCCACAGGAGGTGGTATAGAGTGTCGTTTGTTGAAGGAGGAGAGATTGTAGTGTGCTTACCAGTCAGACCAGGTAGAGCATCCTATAGCTCAGAGGTCGAAGGTTGGAATAACCATCTGACCATTGCATGACTTGATAATAAGTGATGTTTTGAAGTATCAACAAAAACGTTGTCCATATCATCTATCTGGTACGCATAATCGTCTATATTTGTGATCAACACAAGTGGTTCCAAACAGTACCTTACCCAGGGTAACATTCTGTGATGTCACAACAATTAACTACCAAGGGTGACATGTACATACAGTAACTTACCAAAGTTAATGTTCTGTGATGTAACAGCAATAACCTACAAAGGGTGACATGTAGAAACAGTAACTTAACCAGGGTAACATTCTCTGTGATGTCACAGTCATTTACCCAGGGTAACATTGTCTTTGATGTCAAAAACAGTTACTTACCCAGGGTGACATTCTCTGTGATGTCACAGTCATTTACCCAGGGTAACATTGTCTTTGATGTCAAAAACAGTTACTCCAGGGTAACATTCTGTGATGTCCCAACAATTAACTACCAAGGGTGTCATGTACAAACAGTAACTTAGCGAGGGTAACGTTCTGTGATGTCCCAACAATTAACTACCAAGGGTGCCATGTACAAACAGTAATTTACCCAGGGTAACGTTCTTTGATGTTACAACAATAACCTGCCAAGGGGGACATGTAGAAACAGTAACTTAACCAGGGTAACATTCTCTGTGATGTCACAGTCATTTAACCAGGGTAACATTCTCTGTGATGTCACAGTCATTTACCCAGGGTAACATTGTCTTTGATGTCAAAAACAGTTACTTACCCAGGGTGACATTCTCTGTGATGTCACAGTCATTTAACCAGGGTAACATTCTCTGTGATGTCACAGTCATTTAACCAGGGTAACATTCTCTGTGATGTCACAGTCATTTAACCAGGGTAACATTCTCTGTGATGTCACAGTCATTTACCCAGGGTAACATTGTCTTTGATGTCAAAAACAGTTACTCCAGGGTAACATTCTGTGATGTGACAACAATTACTTACCAAGGGTGACATGTACACTCTGATCTTACATCAATAAGCCACCATTGTTTTTTGAGGCCTCTGAACTTACATCAATAAGCCACCATTGATGTAAGATCAGAGGCCCCAAAAAACAATGGTGGCTTATTGATGTAAGATCAGAGGCCCCAAAACATAGTGGTGGCTTATTGATGTAAGATCAGAGTGTACATGTCACCCTTGGTAAGTAATTGTTGTCACATCACAGAATGTTACCCTGGGCAAGTTACTGTTTGTACATGACACCCTTGGCAGTTAATTGTTGTGACATCACATATATCAACGAGAATGTCACCCTGGGTAAGTAACTGTGACATCAATGAGAATGTCACCCTCGGTAATTTACTGTTTGTGACATCAAAAAGAATATAGCCCTGAATAAGTTGTTATTTATGACAATTTGTGGGTAAGCAACTGTTTGTACATGTCACCCGTGGTAGGTTATTGCTGTTACATCACAGAACATTAACTTTGGGAAGTTACTGTTTGTACATGGCACCCTTGGTAGTTAATTGGTGTGACATCACTATTGTTGTGACATCAAAGAACGTTCCCCTGGGTAAGTTACTGTTTGGAACCACTTGTGATCAACACAAGTGGTTCCAACCAGTACCTTACCCAGGGTAACGTTCTTTGATGTTACAACAATAACCTGCCAAGGGTGACATTTACAAACAGTAACTTACCCAGGGTAACATTCTGTGATGTCACAACAATAACCTGCCAAGGGTGACATGTACAAACAGTAACTTACCCAGGGTAACGTTCTTTGATGTCACAACAATAACCTGCCAAGGGTGACATGTACAAACAATTACTTACCCACAAATTGTCATAAATAACAACTTATTCAGGGCTATATTCTTTTTGATGTCACAAACAGTAAATTACCGAGGGTGACATTCTCATTGATATATTTTACAGTTATTTACCCAGGGTGACATTCTCATTGATATATGTCACAGTTATTTACCCAGGGTGACATTCTCTGTGATGTCACAGTCACTTACCCAGGGTGACATTATCCATGATGTCACATTTATTTACCTAGGGTGACATTCTCATTGATGTCACAGTTACTTACCCAGGGTGACATTCTCGTTGATATATGTCACCGTTACTTACCCAGGGTGACATTCTCTGTGATGTCACAGTCACTTACCCAGGGTGACGTTCTCGTTGATATATGTCACCGTTACTTACCCAGGTCGACATTCTCGTTGATATATGTCACAGTTATTTACCCAGAGTGACATTCTCGTTGATATATGTCATTGTTACTTACCCAGGGTGACATTCTCTGTGATGTCACAGTCATTTAACCAGGGTAACATTCTCTGTGATGTCACAGTCATTTACCCAGGGTGACATTGTCTTTGATGTCAAAAACAGTTACTTACCCAGGGTAACATTTTCTGTGATAAACACATTGGTTCCTAACAGTTTTCTGCACAAGTCATACAGTGTCATTGTCTTCTTGGCCAGCACACGGGCTGATATGAAGCCTATAATAAATCAGAATAATCAATTTTTCTATACATCTGTAATCTTGATACTACAATCTTACTAATCATGTTAATGTTTTTTCCATCATTTTGGCTTTTTAACCATTTTATAGTGTTCACTTTAAAGTTTTTCCTGTTTCACCCATCCTGATTTTTTTTTTATCACAATTCATCATTGTATAAAATGTAAACAAGGAATAACCCTGACCTTGGCTGGATAGCATGACCTCTAGGGCAAGGTGAAGGTCAGGTTGGAGAACAGAGATTGTACGGAACTGGACCATGATATAGTCAGGGATGGCTGCTGTGGACGAGGAGTAGAGCAGCAACTTCTCTGGGTTTCCTGGATGTACCTGAAGAGGAACAGGTTATCACACATTTGTCAAAATAAACTTCAAAATAGGGGAGAAACAGGATATCACACTTCTGTGCAACTTAAATCCAAGGAAAAAACCTATTATAAGTCCAGAGTGAATATATTTACAATCTCTGACATTAAAACTGTTTTAAGTACAAATTGCACTAATGATCAAATAAAATCATCAGCAACCTGGAATATGTCTGTAAAACACCCCTGCTCCCATGCAAATAAATCATATTTTTTAACAATTTAGTGGTTACCATGAAGTTGACCTTAACATTTCATTCCTAAAATGTGAATTTTAAGTATTCTCACACTTAAACCGCTGTATTTGACTCAAATTTACTGACAGAAGTAGTAGGAGTGATGTCACTGAATAGGTGAACAAATATCTAAAGAAACGTGGACTCCTTCAAGGTATTCTGGTAGCCGACTTTGAATATCATGAAGGAATCAAGCGGCTTTAGGAGCAGTGACAGTAGATCAGTGTATAACACTATATGCCCCCCATCTCCCAGCATGAATGGCAGCAGGGACCTACAATGTTGATATTTGAGAAGCTTCTGAGCTACCTGTACTGCGCTGTCAGTGAGGGCGAAGCAAGCCCCTGCAGCGTTCAGCTGAATGTCATCAGACTGGAGGTGCACCGCTGCCTTGCCTGCTCTGAGGGCTCCCATCACTGAGGAGATGAGTTGGGCGTACACACTGAGAACGGCAGGCGTGAGGTGACTGATGTTGTTGAAGCACACCCAGCAGCCTGTTGATGCCATGCCTCGGAATATATCTTGGAGCTGCATGTAATCCATGGTGGATGTACAGTTGAACTTGTACAGGGGATAGCCAAGGCATCGGGCCAGCTCATGGACAAGTTCAAACTTCCCACTATCCTGTAAATACAACACATGACAGTCAACTCTATCCTGTCTACCACAGTTTGATCAGTACTTGTTTGATTCAGGCAAATAACATGCAAACTAGTTTGATTGTCTTTTCAAGGAACTCCAACAAGCAATATTCATAACAGATGTAGATTATTGTAATGTGTCACTAACTGGCATGGATTCAAACTATTTTCTTGGTTACAACACTGTGACAGATGTGATAATCCCTGTTGTTTACAGGAGATTTCTACCCTTACTTACCATTGGTCCGACACACATAGCACCCCGTTGTTAACAGGAGATTTCTACCCTTACTTCTCATTGGTCCAACACACTTAGCACCCCGTTGTTTACAGGAGATTTCTACCCTTACTTACCATTGGTCCAACACACATAGCACCCCGTTGTTAACAGGAGATTTCTACCCTTACTTACCATTGGTCCGACACACATAGCACCCATGTGAGCCTTGACTGTCTGTGTGAGGGACACAAACACCCGTTCTGTTAGTGGAGTGATTACTTCTCTTGGACTGGAGCCAATGTACTCGTAACCATAGTCAAACTGGGAGTCAAGTGTCTGTAAACAAAAGGTTTATTGTCCTGTATACCTGTCTATAACAATGGTAGTTACAGAACCAGCATCAATAAGTATGATAAAGCTGCTAGTTACCAGACAGGGTTACAACATGTCTTTATTCAGACACTGACAATTATAGTTGTTAATGTTTCCATGATCAGAAAACATCTGTATTCAATAGAATGAGCAGTTTCAACATTTCTTATTCTGACATAAAAATCTAAGTCTTCTGTAATATATCTGAAAATTGACACTGACCATGAAGTCAAACATGCCTGATGTCTTTTAAATGGGCTGTTTAAGCAATTAAACTAACTCACTTTCAAACCACGACATTTTACATGATAGCCCATCCCTTATCTCCCCTACTAGGAGAGTTATCTCCACCTGACAAGTTGTCTACTTACTTTGATGCTGACAGCTCTGTTGTCCTTACTGAAGTAGAAGCGGAGGTGTGAGCGCCACTCAAACCCTGACAGCGCGGCGGTGTCATCAGCCTCAATCATCCTCTCCAGGAAGTCCCGTACATGTGCCAGAAGGGCAAGAAGGGAGGTAAGCTTCTGTATCTGACTGGGGAACAGCATCAGCTTCATCTCTGCAGCTTCGCCTGGTGAGGCCTCCTCCTTGGACTCTTCTTTCTTGCTGTACGTAGTGATGGGTGGGGCCGCTAGGATGTTCATTGTATCTACCGGCTCCAGAGTCTGAGGCTCCATGAGGGCTAAATACCAACAAACATACATAAACCCTACATAGAACACTCTCAGTGCCACTTACAATATCTACTAGTGTTCCCAAACAACCCCAGACCACTAACAATCAACAGAAGGGATCCTCAGGAATCCAATCCATGGGGAATAAAGGGTGTTCACTATAACAAAGCAACTTTTATTGCTTAACATAATGTGTGTTTGATATTTAAAATGCAATGTATATATAATTCCGTTTTTTTATATTTCATCCTTCAAAATAAGAAAAAGTTTCTCAGAAATGCTGTGTTACCTCTTAGTAACTTATCACAGAAGTTTGTTAATATTAGGAAATGCTGAGTCTTCAGACCTTACCATCAATTTGTATCATTATAAATTAACATCAAAAAGACTTTAACAGGCAACTTTCTCTCTCTCAAAAACTTGATCAGATAAAAATCTTAACAAAATGTTAGTGACAATGTCACCTTCACCACAGAATATACAAGGTTTCCAAACAGTGATTATTACATTACACAAACCTTACATGACCAACAATCAACTGTGAAGATTTCCCTTTTACTCAATATTGAATAACAGAATATAAAACCCTTACATTACACGCATGTATTTATATAACCATAGTCATCACGATCAACTTTGAAATACTATAGAAAAAATTATATATTCACTTTAGATTAATAAAATTGTTGAAATTAAGCAATTAACATACCTAATGGTAAATTCAAAACTAATATATATTGATAAAACACCCTTTCCAGTACAAAAAGTAAGGTCTTACATTAATATTTACATTTAAGGTACACCTTCCAAATATGACCTTTTCTTAGTTAGTAAGTACGCTTTCAAGAAATATAAAATGTTGCATTATGTTATTTCTGCCATGTCTTAGCAAATCAGGTGATGAAAAGGAGTTGGTATGTGGGATATGCATTTCTCCCTTAGTTGTACAATTTAGAGTGAGAGTCAGTGCCTTGGTTCTGACCCCAATTTTACACCCAAGGATTGAATATTTATATTCCACATACCGATAGCATAGCGATAGACTCTTTAGTATTACATATATCTGTGTATTGACCTGTGACCTAATAACTTTGACTTGTAAAACGTATATGATAACTATAAGAAATACCTGGAGACTAACAGCTAAGAGCAAGAATTAACCAACATTCTCAATCCAGATTATGACAATATTAAATCTCTATCAAGGGCCATAACTCTCATAATAGCAGTCATATGCTTAAATCCTAAGACAATAATATTAATGTTTCATTAAAGATACTGATGTTTTGACAAGGGGATGAAGGATGAGAGTGGGGCCATGATTAGGGTGAAACAATGCCAGTTAGCCAATACCAAGCCACACTTACAGGACTGTTCATCCCCTTTAGTGGACCCCTCCTCCTCAGGGATGGGTGTCCGCGCTGTCTCACCGCCACCTACATCTAAGGTTGACCCCTTACGTGACGCGCCAGTTAACGACGCTGCATAGCTACTGCGGGCTCCCGCGACCGATGCTGACTCTGACAACTCCTCTTTGTCACCCTCCTTTACAGAGTGAACTGCAAACCAGCAACATTTTTTGTAATATCAGTATAGTACATGTTTTAATACATCACATTAATCACAACATGGAATTTGTAAAACCAACTTATTACTTTAGCTTAACACCAACACAAAGTCATCACTGATGAATGACATTAACACTGACACATGTGAAGTATAATGTCGATTTACCTCCTTCGCTGACCTCGTTACGACCCTTGGATTCCCGCTCACCCTCCAGCCCCTTCAGTAGGACAGTTGTTGCCTGAATGCTCTGATTGACTTTCTGTAAAGCACTCTGTAACACACCAAATACTCAAATGATACATGCATACACAATCTCCCTTGCATTACTGACAGCCCACAGCTGTCATCTAGCAATGGCCTGTCCTTGTTAAAACAAGGCAATATGTCTATCATGTGGCAAGCATACCTGGTATATTCATGTGCAATGGAATAGCCAAATTTAAATACTGCATTTGTTCTAAACATTTTTTTCAGGTTGGTACGTATGGATTATGAGAAGTTCTTTTCAAACACAACCAATACAATTTTCTATGTGACGTTTCGATGACTAGTACGATATGTACACTGTCACCTTATTCGGACAAATGATGGAAACGTTATGTTGACGACATACTTGAGATAATCAAGAAGGGGTCACAGAAAGATTTGACCACACATATCAACACTATAGATGCCACTAACAACATCAAATTCACATGTGAGGAAGACACCAACGGCACAATGCACTTCCTAGACACTCTACTGGTAAAGAAAGAAGACAGAACCGTGAAAGCATTGGTCTATAGAAAAAAGACCCATACGGACCAATACCTGAACTTCAAATCTCACCATCCTTTACACCAGAAGTTAGGCGTCATATGCACATTGCTCAACAGATGTGATACAATAGTCACAGAACAACAGGACAAAACACAAGAGCAGAATCACATCGTTAGGGCAATGAGAACATGTGCGGGATGGGCCCTAAAACGGGTAAAAAAAACAGTGTCAAAGAAAGGAGAAGAACAAGAAAAGGCCAATCAAGGATAAGAACAAAACCAAAGGTCAAGTGGTCATCCCGTAAACAAAGGGTATATCCGAAACCATCCAGAGGATATATCGCGGTCATGGCATAGCAACAGCCATGAAGACCCACAAGACGCTTCGCAATATCCTAGTACACCCCCCTAAGGATAAAACACCTAAAGAAAGCGTCGCAGAATGCGTATACAAAATTGGATGCAAAAACTGCGACGCGTTGTATATTGGAGAGACTGGAAGGCAATTTGGGGAACACCAGAAAGACACAGACACCCCAGAAGGTAGGAAATTCACCAGATCTGAAAGAAAACAGTCGGAATCCCAGATAAATAAATCGGCAATCACAGACCATGCCACACAGAAAAACCATGTGATTGACTGGGATAACTCCAAAGTTTTGGACAGAGAGAGCAATCTGTTCAAGCGGCAGATAAAGGAAGCCATCTGGATACGCCGCAGTGGGCCAGTTCTAAATCGAGACGAGGGGGCTCAAAGACTCTAGCACACTATGACCAAGTGTTAACAAAGTGTAGCTGAATTGAGTCATTTCGGTACATATATAACAACTATTGTACATACATTTGCAGCGTAGCCGAAATGGACATCGATTTTATGGACGACTTGTACACATTTTACACCTTTGTGTGCATACACTTCATTGGTCATTTGTCTGATGAAGGTGACAGTGTACATATTGTACTAGTTATCGAAACGTGACATAGAAAATTTTGTTGGTTGTGTAAAAAGAACTTCTCATAATTAAATACTGTATTATCAGGGTTTGACACTAACTTTATCCTACAGCCTGCAGGACTTTCAGAATTTTGTAGCTGTAATGATGTGTGGTGATCCTACCAAGGCAGGGGCAGGCTCAATATACCATTATATACCAAAATTCTGTGTTCAAGTCTGTTTTTAGCATGAGATTTAAAATAAAAATTGATATACATATTTTGTTTTTCGGTAAATGATCAGATCCTCTTACCTTGAATACAGGTCAACAAAAACCAGACTGATAGGTTAATTCAAAATGGCAAAACCTAAATCTATCCACTTTATTGTGAATTCAAGCAGTATTATTTCTCTCACGTATTCCCCACCATGGGCTAATACATATCATAATTTAAAAAAAAAAAAAACTTTCCCTAGTGAGTCGAGTAGGAATGAGTACCTGAACACTGTCCTTTTTGCCGTCTTCTAACTCCTTCAGCGCACACTCTATCCTCTCTGTCATCTGAACTCGTGTGGCTAGGTACACAATTTCTGTCACGTGATCCAGTGTCCATGACTTGTGGTTGTCTCCTCTGTCAGTTTCGGTGAGGAGCTGGTCCGCCACTGACGATGCGCGACTCATGCTTTCCTTGGTTTCACGCTTGGCACCCCGACTACTTGTTCTACTGCCCACCTCTTTCTTTTCTGTAGACAAAAGGTACAAATTTATATAACGATCACAGTAATTATCACTGGCACTCAAAATATTCTGTTGTATAATTTAGAAATGTTTTAATTCCTTACTGTGTCAAGTACATCTCAAAATCATTAAAACAACAATTTTCTGTATAACTTTAGTAGGAGATATCTATTTAAAGGTGAAACTAGCTATGTCTTTCCTTATATTCATTTCAATATACATATTAAACAACAACACATTCTGGACAAACCTGATATATCTGAAGTTATTTGTGTATCAATAAGAGTGTATCTATTACAAGTATTAAAGCTCTACAATGAATCTGTAGATTATACAATAGTATCTCCAGGAAGTTTAAAATGGTTCTTGTTTAATGATCTTATCAAGGTTATATGTAAACAGTCAGCATGTCAACAGGCACACACCTCATGCTAGTTAATTGTTCTTGTCAAGAAAATGTTCATGCATTTAGAAAGTAAAATGAAATAAAAACGTTTTGAGTACAGTTAACATATTGATCAATCGTACTGTTATTCTCACCATACCAGAAGGTTATACACTATTCATATTTTATAACATATGTCAATAATATCAATGTCAACTAGAAAACATAAGGAATACTTTTATTTACCATAGCTGACTATCACAGTATTATTTTATCTATACGATTATGACTATCAGCAATAAGTCTCTAGGAGAAAGGGGTAAGAAATCAGGGCTAACCCTTAACCCAACCTATTCCACTTATACTCAAAGTATGTCAGTATTGGTGCTATATAATGTCTACATATTATCTGACAGACAGAGTTTAAGAGGAGAGTGATAAAAACTGAGGATAAAAGACAAGAAGGCCAAAGAGTCACTCACACTGTGACTCCTACAAAGTCACCCACACTATCACCTCTACAGAATCACCCACACTATGACCTCTACAGAATCACCCACACTATGACCTCTACAGAATCACCCACACTATGACCCCTACAAAGTCACCCACACTATGACCTCTTCAGAGAGACCCACACTGTGACCTCTACAGAGCCACCCACACTGTGACCTTTTCAGAGAGACTCACACTGTGACCCCTACAGAGTCACTCACACTGTGACCTCTTCAGAGCCACCCACACTGTGACCCCTACAAAGTCACCCACACTATAACCTCTTCAGAGAGACACGCACTGTGACTCCTACAAAGCCACCCACACTATGACCTCTTCAGAAAGACCCACACTGTGACCTCTTCGGAGAGACCCACACTGTGACATCTACAAAGTCACCCACACTATAACCTCTTCAGAGAGACCCGCACTGTGACTCCTACAAAGTCAACCACACTATGACCTCTTCAGAGAGACCCACACTGTGACCTCTTCAGAGAGACCCACACTGTGACATCTACAAAGTCACCCACACTATAACCTCTTCAGAGAGACTCACACTGTGACCCCTACAGAGTCACTCACATTGAGACCTCTTCAGAGCCACCCACACTGTGACCCCTACAAAGTCACCCACACTATGACCTCTTCAGAGAGACCTGCACTGTGACTCCTACAAAGTCACCCACACCATGACCTCTTCAGAGAGACCCACACTGTGATCTCTTCAGAGAGACCCACACTGTGACCTCTACAGAGTCACCCACACGATGACCTCTTCAGAGAGACCCACACTGTGACCTCTACAGAATCACCCACACTGTGACCTCTACAGAGCCACCCACACTGTGACCTCTTCAGAGAGACTCACACTGTGACCCCTACAAAGTCACTCACACTGTGACCTTTTCAGAGCCACCCACACTGTGACCCCTACAGAGAGACCCGCACTGTGACTCCTACAAAGTCACCCACACTATGACCTCTTCAGAGAGACCCACACTGTGACCTCTACAGAGTCACTCACACTGTCACTCCTACAAAGTCACCCACACTGTGACCTCTTCAGAGAAACCCACACTGTGACCTCTACAGAGTCACTCACACTGTCACTCCTACAAAGTCACTCACACTATGACCTCTTCAGAGAAACCCACACTGTGACCACTACAGAGTCACTCACACTGACTCCTACAAAGTCACCCACACTATGACCTCTTCAGAGAGACCCACACTGTGACCTCTACAGAGTCACTCACACTGTCACTCCTACAAAGTCACCCACACTATGCTCTCTACAGAGAGACCCACACTGTGACCTCTACAAAGTCACTCATACTGTGACCTCTACAGAATCACCTGCACTATGACCTCTTCAGAGAGACCCACACTGTGACCTCTTCAGAGAGACCGCCACTGTGACATCTACAAAGTCACCCACACTATGACCTCTTCAGAGAGACCCACACTGTGACCTCTACAGAATCACCCACACTGTGACCTCTACAGAGCCACCTACACTGTGACCTCTTCAGAGAGACTCACACTGTGACCCCTACAAAGTCACTCACACTGTGACCTTTTCAGAGCCACCCACACTGTGACCCCTACAAAGTCACCCACACTATGACCTCTTCAGAGAGACCCACACTGTGACCTCTACAGAGCCACCTACACTGTGACCTCTTCAGAGAGACCCACACTGTGACCTCTGCAGAGTCACTCACACTGTCACTCCTACAAAGTCACCCACACTATGCTCTCTTCAGAGAAACCCACACTGTCACCTCTACAGAGTAATCACACTGTGACTTCTACAGTCGCTCACACAGTGACCTCTACAGAGTCACCCATACAGTGACCTCTACAGAATCACTCACACTGTCACCCCTACAGAGACATTCACATTACAATGTGACCTATCATTATTCTTGGCTAAAAGCTCTAATGAAAAAAGAGTTTAGAAAAAATTGAGTTTATTTGTGCATTGTGAAATTAGCAAAGAGAATATATGTGATATAATAAACAAACTTATAGCCTATACTCTCAACACTGATGCTTTATCAGAATATGTAAGATCACTTAATTGTGAACAATAACTACAAATATCAGTTTTTAATTACAACAAAGTTGGTTAAATTTAATAACTTGATAAGTACAAAAACACCAAAACTAACATGCACTTGTGACATAAAGCGGGCCCTTAGTCAGTCTCGAAGATTTTCATGGAGCGGTCACTTACACCCATTCTTACTGTAGGGGTTTACTTGATGATGACTGACTCAGCCTGACTAACAACGATGTACTGTACTTATACACCAGTGGACCTGTCCACCAGCTGATGATGACTGACTCAGTCTGACTAACAATGATCTACTGTACTTATACACCAGTGTTCCTGTCCACCAGCTGATGATGACTGACTCAGCCTGACTAACAATGATCTACTGTACTTATACACCAGTGTACCTGTCCACCAGCTGATGATGACTGACTCAGCCTGACTAACAATGATCTACTGTACTTATACACCAGTGTACCTGTCCACCAGCTGATGATGACTGACTCAGCCTGACTAACAATGATCTACTGTACTTATACACCAGTGTACCTGTCCACCAGCTGATGATGACTGACTCAGCCTGACTAACAATGATCTACTGTACTTATACACCAGTGTACCTGTCCACCAGCTGATGATGACTGACTCAGCCTGACTAACAATGATCTACTGTACTTATACACCAGTGTACCTGTCCACCAGCTGATGATGACTGACTCAGCCTGACTAACAATGATCTACTGTACTTATACACCAGTGTACCTGTCCACCAGCTGATGATGACTGACTCAGCCTGACTAACAATGATCTACTGTACTTATACACCAGTGTACCTGTCCACCAGCTGATGATGACTGACTCAGCCTGACTAACAATGATCTACTGTACTTATACACCAGTGTACCTGTCCACCAGCTGATGATGACTGACTCAGCCTGACTAACAATGATCTACTGTACTTATACACCAGTGTACCTGTCCACCAGCTGATGATGACTGACTCAGCCTGACTAACAATGATCTACTGTACTTATACACCAGTGTACCTGTCCACCAGCTGATGATGACTGACTCAGCCTGACTAACAATGATCTACTGTACTTATACACCAGTGTACCTGTCCACCAGCTGATGATGACTGACTCAGCCTGACTAACAATGATCTACTGTACTTATACACCAGTGTACCTGTCCACCAGCTGATGATGACTGACTCAGCCTGACTAACAATGATCTACTGTACTTATACACCAGTGTACCTGTCCACCAGCTGATGATGACTGACTCAGCCTGACTAACAATGATCTACTGTACTTATACACCAGTGTACCTGTCCACCAGCTGATGATGACTGACTCAGCCTGACTAACAATGATCTACTGTACTTATACACCAGTGTACCTGTCCACCAGCTGATGATGACTGACTCAGCCTGACTAACAATGATCTACTGTACTTATACACCAGTGTACCTGTCCACCAGCTGATGATGACTGACTCAGCCTGACTAACAATGATCTACTGTACTTATACACCAGTGTACCTGTCCACCAGCTGATGATGACTGACTCAGCCTGACTAACAATGATCTACTGTACTTATACACCAGTGTACCTGTCCACCAGCTGATGATGACTGACTCAGCCTGACTAACAATGATCTACTGTACTTATACACCAGTGTACCTGTCCACCAGCTGATGATGACTGACTCAGCCTGACTAACAATGATCTACTGTACTTATACACCAGTGTACCTGTCCACCAGCTGATGATGACTGACTCAGCCTGACTAACAATGATCTACTGTACTTATACACCAGTGTACCTGTCCACCAGCTGATGATGACTGACTCAGCCTGACTAACAATGATCTACTGTACTTATACACCAGTGTACCTGTCCACCAGCTGATGATGACTGACTCAGCCTGACTAACAATGATCTACTGTACTTATACACCAGTGTTCCTGTCCACAGGGAAGTGTATGCCCCTTCACAATATAGTCTATATGTAACACTACCAAGGTCCCCAGCCGGTTTCATGTAAAACCTGAAGAAAACACTGATTACTTATCTTACTTATATGATTTGAACCATTTATACATAACATATGACAATCAAATAAAAGGAAAAAGGAGAAAATAGTTGCATAAAGAGAATGTATGTCTTGTTTTGTTGGAAAATGAAACAAAACACAAATCTACCAGACAACAGCAGCTTGAGATACCTGTAAACTATTATTAATATTAATTTTTCTGTGGGGAAGTTGTTATAAAAAGCTGAGTATTTCAGTAAGGAGGTAGTTATGCTCATAACGCTCCTGTTATATCTGATTTTTTCAGTTAAATTTAGTTAATTTCAATATTTTATGTGCTGATGTTACTCTGTGTAACTGTTTCTTCTACATTTTTTTAAACAGTGATGATATGATAATTATCATGATTTACATGTTACATATCGGGTTATCATTTAAAGAATTCCTTTTTTAAGTTCACTATTTGCTATCTACCTTTCTTCCCAAATGTCACTGAAAGTCAAAGAATCAAAAAAGACTTTTTTGAGACTCTTAATTTTCAACTCAACTATCTCAAGTTCAAACATACTAGCTGGCCATGTAAGAATATAACAGACCACAAATTTTACCCGTCATCAGTACAGCAGAAAAACATATAACAAATCGAGTTTCTACTTAGGACAAGTTAAAATCTTCCAGAGGGGAACAGTTGATGTTCCTCAGCAGCAGATGAAGTGTATACATTGGTATATCAAACACACATATCTCTAGTAACACTGAATTCTGTAGTATTTACACTTCACTTCAGTTTCATGCAACAATTTCAATCTCAAGCACAAGAAAGTCTCACTCCAAGGTCTCTGCAACAATTAAGTTTGGACAAGTTGAGTTTTTGAATTTTACTTAATTTGGGGATTTTATTTGCATTTATATGATATTTTGTTGAAAATAGATTAAAGCATATTTATGAAAAGCTAAATGTTTCTTTTACACATTAAACCAGTTTTATAAATGAAAACCAGAAAAATTGCCAAATCACTAAAATTTCATAACTCAAGTGAACGTAGCACAGCTGAGTAGATTAAACTGTGTCATATTTTGGAGAACATAAAGTCCAAACTGAATTTATTAACAAAATGAATTATCGAGAAGTATTCAGGCAAGAATTAAGAAGTATGAATGTGTACAGGGAGTAGGAAGATGAAGCAGAACTTCGTTATTTGGCGGAGTGTAATCATAGAGGTCAACTTCAACAGCCTACGACAAAGTTACTAAACGTAGGAGTAGTTCATCAAATCTCTACTAAACAAAGTTACTAAACATGGGAGTAGTTCATCAAATCTCTACTAAACAAAGTTACTAAACATGGGAGTAGTTCATCAAATCTCTACTAAACAAAGTTACTAAACATGGGAGTAGTTCATCAAATCTCTACTAAACAAAGTTACTAAACATGGGAGTAGTTCATCAAATCTCTACTAAACAAAGTTACTAAACATGGGAGTAGTTCATCAAATCTCTACTAAACAAAGTTACTAAACATGGGAGTAGTTCATCAAATCTCTACTAAACAAAGTTACTAAACATGGGAGTAGTTCATCAAATCTCTACTAAACAAAGTTACTAAACATGGGAGTAGTTCATCAAATCTCTACTAAACAAAGTTACTAAACATGGGAGTAGTTCATCAAATCTCTACTAAACAAAGTTACTAAACATGGGAGTAGTTCATCAAATCTCTACTAAACAAAGTTACTAAACATGGGAGTAGTTCATCAAATCTCTACTAAACAAAGTTACTAAACATGGGAGTAGTTCATCAAATCTCTACTAAACAAAGTTACTAAACATGGGAGTAGTTCATCAAATCTCTACTAAACAAAGTTACTAAACATGGGAGTAGTTCATCAAATCTCTACTAAACAAAGTTACTAAACATGGGAGTAGTTCATCAAATCTCTACTAAACAAAGTTACTAAACATGGGAGTAGTTCATCAAATCTCTACTAAACAAAGTTACTAAACATGGGAGTAGTTCATCAAATCTCTACTAAACAAAGTTACTAAACATGGGAGTAGTTCATCAAATCTCTACTAAACAAAGTTACTAAACATGGGAGTAGTTCATCAAATCTCTACTAAACAAAGTTACTAAACATGGGAGTAGTTCATCAAATCTCTACTAAACAAAGTTACTAAACATGGGAGTAGTTCATCAAATCTCTACTAAACAAAGTTACTAAACATGGGAGTAGTTCATCAAATCTCTACTAAACAAAGTTACTAAACATGGGAGTAGTTCATCAAATCTCTACTAAACAAAGTTACTAAACATGGGAGTAGTTCATCAAATCTCTACTAAACAAAGTTACTAAACATGGGAGTAGTTCATCAAATCTCTACTAAACAAAGTTACTAAATGTGGGAGTAGTTCATCAAATCTCTACTAAACAAAGTTACTTAACATGGGAGTAGTTCATCAAATCTCTACTAAACAAAGTTACTAAACGTGGGAGTAGTTCATCAAATCTCTACTAAACAATTATACATGGAAATTCTACAGTAGAGGATCAAGTAACACACTCTAAGTAAAGAAAGCTTATCATTCTTGTGTCATAATGTTGCCTTAATTTCTAATTATTTATTTTTCCTCCCAAGTAACGAAGTTCTACCATCCATACATGTCACGGAAGAAGTATTAGGACCAGACCACCCCATCTGAGTACAAAAAAAAGTCTCCGACATCAATGACGGATAAACCTTGTAATGTCTGCATAATTCCAAATCTCTTTCTCAGTGATTCCCAGCCTACAGTGTAAAGGTCTTGTGTTACAATTTGTCTGTCATCAATAGAGGGCAAATGTATCAACAGTATAACATACAACCTAATATAAATACAGTGCATACTAACCAAATAGTACCATATGTAGGATAATTACACAAGGAAAGTTTATGTTTTTCATTAGAGTTTTTTGCTTATTAATTGTTAAACTGGAATCATTTTCATAAATGTAACTGTTACAGTGTAATGTGCCAAATAAAATGTCACCAGAATTTGATTTGCTCAGTGTATTCATCCAATTCCACAGTTTTACTATGAATATTCCCAACGTCAAATACAAACCTACTACAATGCAAGTTAACACCAATTTGTTCTTTACCTTAGCAATCTTAAAGAGTCCAAAATGTATTCCAAAATTAACTCATAAAACTTTATGAGGAATGAACAAAAAAAATTGTCCCTAACCACTCGGCAAAGCCTCGTGTTTGGCAACTTAAGAATCCTCCCCCTCGGGTTGAGATTCTCCTATCTCACCCCTAAGGGGGTGAAAGATTCTATTAAGTATAAGTAAAGCTTAGATCTTAGGTTAACAACAGGTTTATTCTACTCTGATATATGTGCAGTTTTTTGTGTGACTTAAAAAACACCAAAAAAACAAAACTTTTAAACAGAAACTTGCAGTAACCACTTACCTTTGCCTTTACTCATTGAGCTGGAGGCACGGGCAGCTACTGTGACCTTGCGTGACCCTGCACTCCGTATTGTCCTGGTACGTGGTTTGGGTTTCTCCACACCCATAGCTGTGGCCATTTGGAACTGTAAAGCATTCTTCAGACCAAGAATGAAGCTGGTGAGCCAGGTCTCAATTTGTCCCTCACATGTTACAGGCTGTGAAGAGAGGTTAACATACGGACAATGTCACAGATTTACGGTTGAACTGAAGGTGCTTGTATACGTAGCTGTGTGTAAATGTAAAGGTAAACACTGATTTTATGACTTCGAATATTGTCAATTTTCAGGCAGCCACAAAGTCGCAGTTTGATAAGAAAACTCTACCAAGTTGTTCTATATACTTCAGCCAAAACGTTTTGAATTATTGAATTATTTATGAAAAGTTTACATATTAACATTATAATATACAGCCGTAATATATGCCTTCAACCCTGATAGTATTTTGCCACACTGTAGCTGTAAAATACAACACTTCCATATTATTTTGTCTGCAAGTGTCATACTCAATTGAAACATCATTACTGTTTTACACAGTCCAGCCGTTTATACGACACACGTCTACCCTCAATAGTGATTATATAAATAAGATCAATCACCTGTCATTCATCTTGCATTTGTGAACTTGAAAGAGGGTAAAGGTCAAATTTATTTAAAGAGGCCAAGTATCATCAATCTACAAATATTGGATATTTTTTGAAAGAATTTAATTAATCTATTTTACCCATGCGGCCTTTCAAATGGTAAAATCTGCCATTCATTTCAGCTTTATAATACCAATAGGGATATGTTGACCACACATGTACAGGTGGTAATATAGTGACTGTGTACTTAGTACACCGGTAGTAATATAGTGACTGTGTACTTAGTACACCGGTAGTAATATAGTGTACACCGGTAGTAATAAAGTGACAGTGAACTTAGTACACCGGTAGTAATATAGTGACAGTGTACTTAGTACACCGGTAGTAATATAGTGACAGTGTACTTAGTACACCGGTAGTAATATAGTGACAGTGTACTTAGTACACCGGTAGTAATATAGTGACAGTGTACTTAGTACACCGGTAGTAATATAGTGACAGTGTACTTAGTACACCGGTAGTAATATAGTGACAGTGTACTTAGTACACCGGTAGTAATATAGTGACAGTGTACTTAGTACACCGGTAGTAATATAGTGACAGTGTACTTAGTACACCGGTAGTAATATAGTGACAGTGTACTTAGTACACCGGTAGTAATATAGTGACAGTGTACTTAGTACACCGGTAGTAATATAGTGACAGTGTACTTAGTACACCGGTAGTAATATAGTGACAGTGTACTTAGTACACCGGTAGTAATATAGTGACAGTGTACTTAGTACACCGGTAGTAATATAGTGACAGTGTACTTAGTACACCGGTAGTAATATAGTGACAGTGTACTTAGTACACCGGTAGTAATATAGTGACAGTGTACTTAGTACACCGGTAGTAATATAGTGACAGTGTACTTAGTACACCGGTAGTAATATAGTGACAGTGTACTTAGTCCACCGGTAGTAATATAGTGACAGTGTACTTAGTACACCGGTAGTAATATAGTGACAGTGTACTTAGTACACCGGTAGTAATATAGTGACAGTGTACTTAGTACACCGGTAGTAATATAGTGACAGTGTACTTAGTACACCGGTAGTAATATAGTGACAGTGTACTTAGTACACCGGTAGTAATATAGTGACAGTGTACTTAGTACACCGGTAGTAATATAGTGACAGTGTACTTAGTACACCGGTAGTAATATAGTGACAGTGTACTTAGTACACCGGTAGTAATATAGTGACAGTGTACTTAGTACACCGGTAGTAATATAGTGACAGTGTACTTAGTACACCGGTAGTAATATAGTGACAGTGTACTTAGTACACCGGTAGTAATATAGTGACAGTGTACTTAGTACACCGGTAGTAATATAGTGACAGTGTACTTAGTACACCGGTAGTAATATAGTGACAGTGTACTTAGTACACCGGTAGTAATATAGTGACAGTGTACTTAGTACACCGGTAGTAATATAGTGACAGTGTACTTAGTACACCGGTAGTAATATAGTGACAGTGTACTTAGTACACCGGTAGTAATATAGTGACAGTGTACTTAGTACACCGGTAGTAATATAGTGACAGTGTACTTAGTACACCGGTAGTAATATAGTGACAGTGTACTTAGTACACCGGTAGTAATATAGTGACAGTGTACTTAGTACACCGGTAGTAATATAGTGACAGTGTACTTAGTACACCGGTAGTAATATAGTGACAGTGTACTTAGTACACCGGTAGTAATATAGTGACAGTGTACTTAGTACACCGGTAGTAATATAGTGACAGTGTACTTAGTACACCGGTAGTAATATAGTGACAGTGTACTTAGTACACCGGTAGTAATATAGTGACAGTGTACTTAGTACACCGGTAGTAATATAGTGACAGTGTACTTAGTACACCGGTAGTAATATAGTGACAGTGTACTTAGTACACCGGTAGTAATATAGTGACAGTGTACTTAGTACACCGGTAGTAATATAGTGACAGTGTACTTAGTACACCGGTAGTAATATAGTGACAGTGTACTTAGTACACCGGTAGTAATATAGTGACAGTGTACTTAGTACACCGGTAGTAATATAGTGACAGTGTACTTAGTACACCGGTAGTAATATAGTGACAGTGTACTTAGTACACCGGTAGTAATATAGTGACAGTGTACTTAGTACACCGGTAGTAATATAGTGACAGTGTACTTAGTACACCGGTAGTAATATAGTGACAGTGTACTTAGTACACCGGTAGTAATATAGTGACAGTGTACTTAGTCCACCGGTAGTAATATAGTGACTGTGTACTTAGTACACTGGTAGTAATATAGTGACAGTGTACTTAGTACACCGGTAGTAATTATATATAATATAGTGACAATTTTACCTGTAGGAAGTCAAGTCGTTCTCCGAGTGTACTTAGTACACCGGTGATCATGAAGCTGTATTTCTCATTGTCCTCCACCTCTTCATATACCAGACTGCCGACATTTTCAAACACCTTACTGATGAACAGGTTCACCTGCTTCAGGTCATATCCTGGGGTGGAAACAAGCTTACTTACAGACAACACATAGGTCCTAAAAAGTTACCAGGTCACATAAGTAACCACATCCTATAAAGTTACCAGGTCATATAAAGTTACAAGGTCCTTTAAAATTACCAGGTGCTATACAGTTACCAGGTCGTAAAAAGTAACCAGGTCCTATAAAGTAACCAGGTCCTATAAAGTTACCAGGTCCTATACAGTAACCAGGTCCTATACAGTTACCAGGTCCTATAAAGTTACCAGGTCCTATAAAGTAACCAGGTCCTATAAAGTAACCAGGTCGTAAAAAGTTACCAGGTTCTATAAAGTTACCAGTAACCAGGTTCTATAAAGTAACCAGGTCCAATAAAGTTACCAGGTTCTATAAAGTTACCAGGTTCTATACAGTTACCAGTAACCAGGTTCTATAAAGTAACCAGGTCCTATAAAGTTACCAGGTCCTATAAAGTTACCAGTAACCAGGTTCTATAAAGTAACAAGGTCCAATAAAGTTACCAGGTTCTATAAAGTAACCAGGTCCTAAAAAGTTACCAGGTTCTATAAAGTTACCAGGTTCTATAAAGTTACCAGATTCTATAAAGTTACCAGGTTCTATAAAGTTACCAGTAACCAGGTTCTATAAAGTAACAAGAACCAATAAAGTTACCAGGTTCTATAAAGTAACCAGGTCAATGTTAACATGTGGTATCTCTATCTTTATTAATATCTGATTATTACAAGAGCTTATCATTAAAACCTGAGTAATATTGATATATGTCCGGAATTAAATATAAACTCAACAAGAGGCCCATGGGCCTTAACGGTCACCTGATATATTTATACAGAGAGTTGATTTCGTTTTTAACATGAACAGAAATATTATTCAAAGTGACAAAAAACAATAAAACCACCTTATTCAATATCAAGCATACAGATTTCAGACTAAAAAGGATTTGAAACTAGCACCTCTGATTCTAAACAAGGAAAATGAAGAAATTTTAGCACACTGACTCCCTTGAGCCCCACCCTACAGCCCTTGGGGATAGGGCTGGCTCAAAATTTTCAAAGTATCAAACTGTCAACTCAAGGTTATAATTCCAATCAAGTTATTAACATGTAATATTCCAAGTATCATTTGCCATATATTATAAACCATAATAAATTTCAGTAAATTCGTCCCTTTTTGGCCCCACCCATCAGCCCCTGGGGGTCAGTCAGAGCTGGTATGTGCTTATTATCAAACTGCTACCTAATACTGATAATGCTAACCCAAATTGAATTATTTCCAATGGAAATTAAACAAATGTTGGTCCAAAATGTGATTTCCTTATATAAACTATAGTAAAGTTTACCCCCTCCCCAGGGGGAAACGTGAGACCCCAGGGTCAAGAAATTCACA